TGCAGGAGAGGTCTCCCTTCACAACAGACAGCATGGGAAGGAGCAAACATTACTTTGTTCTGAATCTGTCCCTTCTGTGTCTTTGTGGTAACTTCTCAGAGGCCAGAAAATTTGCCTACACTCTGTAGGAGCAGCTTCCCTTGTCTCAGCTGCCTTATCTCCCAGGCTTGCTCTGGAGGAGCAGAATGCTGTGGGCAGGTGGATGAGATGATTCCCTGGCACAGATATGGCTTGTCCAGGTCAGTCCAGCAGGCTCAGCTGAGGTCTCTTGGAATTTATAAAGAGGTAATGCCTACAAGCCTCAAATGAAGTCCAGGGCTGGGAATGCTGCCTGACTTGGCAGAATTGAAACCTTTGAATAAGAGAATGTTCCCTATGCTGTGCTCAGCTGCTGTAGGAGAGGGGGAAACAGTCTCTCTCCACATTCCTCCTCTTCTGTGGTTGTGGACAGCTTGTGCTTCCACAGTTGTTCAAAACACAACTTGTCTTTGGGGTGTATTTGCGCAGCACAGACAAAAAGCAGACCTATACTCAAATTAGGGAACTGATTTCCTTGTTAATGGGGAAAATTTGTTGCACAGGAGCCACACATTTGTTGGGCATATGCTTCCCTTTATAATCAGTTTAGCTGCAAGCTGGACAGTGGTGGTATCCTTGATTTATAGCAGACGCCAGGTCATTTTTGTTGCTTTCAAGGTTTCCTGACATTGTTTTGCAACTTCTGCAAAGCTTCAGAGAGCAGAAACATTACACAGAATTACACAGAGTGCTCTGAGCTGAAAGGCACCCAACAAGGATCATCGAGTCTAACCCTTAAGTGAATGGCCCAAACAGGGATTGAAGCCACTTGCAGAGTCCTGTTGTGTTTGGATACCCCTGATACAACAACAGTTTTATGGAACTGTCACAGGCTCTGTGAGATGACACCACAGCTGAGAGCACTGACACAGAGGTGACTTGCTTTTGTTGTGGTGAAATGCTGCTCCTTGTCACACGGGATGATGTTAAATAAGTTCTGGAGGGGAAAAAAGGTTACTTTTCCTTTAGCTGCCTTTTCTCTCTTACTCTGGCCAGGGTAGCTGTCACCTCTGATAAAGCAAACTACACCAGCCTCCACAGGGATTTGATTACTCGTGTTGCAACAATACACTGGTGGTTCTTCTCCCATTTCAGGTAAATACACTCTTCCATCTAGCTTGCATTCCTGTCCGTCCATACTGGTTTTAGTGGTTGCCAGATGATGCATCTCAGGCTGGTTCACTGTGCTGAGTTTGGGCTCTTTGCTAAGGACAGTGGTATTTGATGGAGTCTCAGGTTTAGGACGCCTGACTTCAGCCCACACTGAAGGTTGACTTTTGGACCCATCCCTGGTTGCATGCAGGGGACATGCTGGGGTTGAGGGAAAACACTCTGCATTTCCTCTCCTGCCCTGCCTGTGGGCCCTAGGACAGTGTCCATGAGGGGCTATGGGGAGCGATGGAACCTGTGCAAGGGCTTTACATGGCCTTCGTATCTTGGGAAAAAACTGACCCAGCCCTTCTTAAGGGTTAATATTTTTTTAACATTAGCTCACACAGAGGTGCTGTTAAAACTTTAAACAACTTCAGTGTGAGCTCATACAGGCTCATGGCTGACAGGGACAGGCTGTGGTCAAAGCATCTGGCTCCCCACCAATGGCTGGCAGCCTGGATGAGCCCCTTGGCAGAGATATTTGTCATAGACAGCTTCTGAAAGAGAAATAAATGAATCCATCTGCTGAGTTCTGGCTGGGAGAAGGAAATGGAAAAGGAGGGAAAGCAGACAGCATTATCTGTGCTGCACAGCAGGGGAAGGAAGATGAAGTCCAAAAGTGGAGATAGAAGGAGCAGGGAATCATCTTAGAAAAGGGGCAGTATGCAGAGAGGGTGATCTGAGGGGAAGATGAGGCAAGTGAGAGGCAGGACAGAGCTGTCAGCCCCACTGCTCTCTGTCCTGTCCCAGGGCACATGCCATCCCTATCTTGAGCATATGCCACCCCCATCCTTGGTATATAACCTTCCAGGGGGCGTGGAAGCCCCCAGCCACTGGGAAGGAGACTGAGATGATGTGTAGGGCATCTCTGATCCTGGCTCTGGAGGACTGAGGACATGGACTCTTGGACACGTGCAGCCCCATGAAAAACAAAGCAGTATCGCTGCTTAGAGCTGCTGCAGGAGGAGATTCCAGCCTCATCTCTGTTAGGTCCTTCCCAACCTGGACAGTCATTTTCTGATCCAAAATTGGCTTTCTTAAACACTGGAAACGTTAGGCTTTGCTGACACACTTGAAGATGTGTGTGGCCCACAGAAGCATTGGATGACATCAGCCTTAACATTTCGGGTCACCAGAGTAGGGTTCCCACAGTAGGGACACTGAGCAGAAGAGCACTGCTTTTGCTTCTCAGTGTTTTGAGGCTCAGTTTGAGGTTCCATCAGTGACATCTGGACAGGCACCAGAGATCCTCAGTCCCTCGATATTCACCCAGATGTTGCAAGCCCTTCTCTGCCTTGTCATGCGAACCACCAAGCCTGCCTCGGCAGTGAACAACAATGCAACAACTGGACTTGAGCCAGCTGTTCTGGTGGGGAGGGGGCATTAACAACAAGGCACTGCAAGCTGACAGGTGGGATTTTGTGTTATTCCACTAAGCGTGCAAGGGGGATGCCTTTTAACAGGGATACAAATGACTTTCCCAGAAAACCAGACCACTTCAGTGGAGTCTGCCAGTGGGAGCAGAAGCCTGCTGTTGCAGCATCAGGCTGGGCAGGAACAGCCCAAGCCTGGAGCTCCCTGCAGAAATGCAGTCACTCCATGAGCAGTGAGCTGGAGTCCTGGCTGAGAGGGACCTGCCTTGGACACCCAGCACACACGCAGAGCAGAGCAGTGCCACGGCTGTCTGTGCAGGAAGGGCACCCTAGAAAAGGGGGTTCAGGGCAGCAGCCCACCAGGGCATTTCCCTCCTTCCTCCACTCACCTTGTGTGAGCTTCTGATACCTATGCAATTGCTTTTGGGGAAATTTCTGATGAGCAAGTATTTCACTCCCAGTGCGATTTAGCAGCAATTGATAAAGGAAAAGCCATTATCAGGAGACCACAGGCATGCAGAAGCAGCTCCACGCCACATGATATGATAAAGCTTTTTCCCCCGCTTTGGTCTACATACATGTACAAAGATTACTGTTCATAATAACTTGTCCAAACCCCCCAAAAATAACAGCTGTTCTTTTATGATAACTGAACATCTTAATGACACCCCCCAGTAAAAGCAACCTAACCCAAGCCTTGCAGACAACTGCTCTCTACCAGTATGAAGCTGACAGAAAAAGAAAACTTTATGTGTATGCAGTGAGACAGATTTTTTTCTGTCTTTAGATTTTTTTTTAGTTTTTATTCAGTGACTCAGAGTTACAGACTCTTTAATGGAGAACTGGTCATATTTTTAAAACTTGGAGAAGACTTGGGTTCAAGCTGCCCTGAGATCTCTGAGCTAGCTGTTGAATTCTGTTGAATTTATCTAGACAGGCTGGATTGATGGGCTGAGGACAGTTGTGTGAGGCTCAATAAGGCCAAGTGCTGGGTCCTGTGCTTTGGCCACAACAGCCCCAGGCAGCATTACAGGCTTAGGGAAGAGTGGCTGCAAAGTGGTCCAGCAGAAAATGACCTGGGGGTGCTGGTTGATAGCGGCTGCACATGAGCCAGCTGTGCCCAGGTGGCCAAGAAGGCCAATGGCATCCTGGCCTGGATCAGCAATAGTGTGGCCAGCAGGACCAGGGCAGGGATTGTGCCCCTGTACTCAGCACTGGTGAAGCCACACCTCAAATCCTGTGTCCAGTTCCAGGCCCCCCACTACAAGAAGGACACTGAGGTTCTGGAGCATGTCCAGAGAAGAGCAGTGGAGCTGGTAAAGGCTCTGGAGCACAATTCAGGAGTGGCTGAGGGAAGTGAGGGCGTTTAGCTTGTATAAAAGGAGGCTCAGAGGGGACGGTATCACTCTCTACAACTGCCTGAAAGGAGAAGTCAACAGAGAAGTAAGGGCAAGGATGGACAGTGATGGCAAGCATCAGTGATGCTCCTGTAAGCACAGTCCCACGTCATTGATTTTGGTCCAGATTTACACCACTAGAGCCAATAAAGTAACAAGTAAAATGTACAGAGGCAATGATCCTCCACAGAAAACACTGCTGCAGCTTCTTCTAGCTTTTCCTCACAATTAGCCTCCTTCCTAAATTGTAGAGTTGAAGTTTCCAATTAAAATCTTTTGGAGCAGAATAAGTCAACAGCTTTTTGACTTGCAGTGCAGCATTATGCAGCATGAAGTCCTGGGCACAGTCCAGCACGTTCAGTGATGGGTCTTGTTTGTGGCAAGTTGGGTTAACTTGGTGTATTATTTGCACACACAATACACAGTGTGGAGACACACCGCTACCAATTACCAAGCACTGCTCATCTATTCTAAGGGAAGTGATCTGGGATACCTCAAGTTTTACAACAGGTTGTTAATATATAAGTAAAATACCGTATTTGATCCTAGGGTGAAACCCAGAGACTGCTGTGTGCAGCAGATGCTTTCCTAAGGGAAATTAGTGAAACTGCCCAGGAAAGTCCCCTCTATGATTACAAGACTAGGTACTAAAATCATACGTCTTTTTCCAGGGATGCTCAGGTTGGTGGGTGATTTTTTTTGTGTCCAAGTCCTTGCGAGACTGTGTTTTGTAAAATCTCGTTTATAAGAAAACCATTTTAAAATGGTGAAGGCTGCCTGGGAATTTTACCCATTACAGCTCCCAAGAAGTGCTCCTTTGCAGACCTTGGTGTCATAATTTTTAGAAAATACTAGAAATGGCACAGAACACGTGCAACAAACACTATGTAATAAAGCAAACCCATGGTTTTACTAGCAATTTCCTCCAGCTTTTCCTGTTGAATTATCATCTTTTACGAGCTGCACATCCTTCTCCCTACTTCATGGTGCCTGCTTGCTCTGTTCTCAAAAATACAGGTATCCCAAAATACAGTTATGAAACACCACATGCCCTAACAAATGTCCATCCTTTTGCCACTCTCCAGTGAGAAGGAAGCTCCCATCCTTAGGCAAGAATGCCTGAAGAAGCGCGGGGGGCAGCCTCAGAAGCTGGTGGTGTACTCGTGCCGTGTGCTGGCGCTGGTCTCTGTGTAGCCCCCAGCATCTTTTGTTACAGTGAAAGCCCTTTCTGCAGCTGGCCGTGGCAGCAGCAGCTTGCAGGCTGCTGCCCTGTACTTCTTCGAAACGAGGTTGTAGAGGACAGGGTTGATGGATGCGCTCAGGTAGAAAAGCTGCAGGGCGAATATATTAAAGTACTGGGAGAACAGCATCGTCCTCATGTCCCGGGTGTTTATAAATATGATCCTGCCAATGTGGAAAGGCAACCAGCAAATTACAAAGGCCAGAACCACCACAGCTATAAGACAAAATAACACATGCGGCAGTTAAGGAGTGAGTTAACTTTTCAACCATCCAGTAAAGTAAATTTCACGTGGCTGATTTTGCAGGTTCTTCTAACTGATACAAATGATATATAGAAATAATAGCATGAAATTGTTATAAAACCATGAAAATGGGAATAGCATCAAGTTTGACTGTTAGTCTTTGAAGTAAATGGTAACTGGTAAAATTTAAGCTAAACTGTGAGATGAGGTTTGCTGAGAAAAATATGAACAACAGTGGAGTAACATCTGTATAAAAACATCAGGCACTATACAGAAATCCCCTGTGGCTATGTCTGTAACACCACATATGAGACAGGACGACAAAAGTCAGAATGAGGAGCTTTGTGGAAGCTCCACAGCAGCTCCATTTGCTGCAGACCTAATGTTGAACTTGTCTGCATCACCGAAAAAGACCCGGGCTGCACCTCAGTCACCCAAGCTCCCACAGAATTCACTCTATTGTGACGGGATGGTATCTAACATAAAGACTTTATAGTGTAGTTGAGCTATTGATTTTTTCCCACTAAAGCTTTTTCATGCATCCCCAGACCATTACTGCTGGAGACAGCTATTTGCCTAGATGGATCTCTAGCCTGAGTCGCTTCAGCTGTTCGCCTGGTCTAGTGTTGCATTTTAGCACAATGAAAACGAATACAAACCCTCTTGCAATGGCAACACAGCAGGAGCAGATGAGGAACAATTACAATAAGTGTATTACTGTATCCATACTTTTAATTATTTTTGTTTATAAATGCATGTAGCTAAAACAAACAATCATTTGTAGAGCATCCTCCATGTTTCTCACAACTTAAATAAAAAGGATGCAGCCAAAGAAAGTTTTCTTTCTGGTGAAAACACCACGCACCTAGTGCTGCTGGATCTTTGAGATAAGGGGGCACTGGTCTCATTCAGTGGGTTCTGAGATCAGGGATATGGGTGTTTCTGTTGGAAAACCTTGTGCCTACTTCAGTGTAAGTACCTTCCTCAAATAAGTCGGCAAAATTCTCTCAGGCTTATTGGTTTCTTTCCTTTGTGCTATGTTACTTCCATCCAGCTGATTACACTCTCAGTAAAAGAAGTCTCCCATGTGACATGTAAAAACTACACTAAAGGTAGGCAATAATAATAATTAGGCCATTTTGTTTTATGTTCCTTAGTCAATAGTTGGATTTCTTTTTTCTCTCTCTTCAGATTGGTCACTACTTACAAACACTAAAGCCCCAAAGCTAACTAAGATCTCTAACTTTTCAGAGTCTGATGCCAGGTTACTGAATGTATGACTAAGAAAATGAACTAAAAATTATCAGCATCCTACATCTGTAGGAAATGCTTTGGTATTATGGGATTTGTCTCCAAACAGCTCGTAAGTTGCTGGTTTTCAGCCTCCTTGGGCAACCAGTGAATTTACTCCTTGGAGCTACAAATGACCACTAGGAACTTAGTTTTCAGAAGCAGAAATTTTCTGTGCAGAGGTGTTGCTGCCAGCTGGAAGAGACTGCTGATATTACCACAGTTTTTCTGAATTGCAGGCTACCTTGTACTTGACTCTGCCTGGTAAAATTCAGGAAACAGGTATTTCTACAGAAGGCAGCCGTGCTGCTGTACGCGCAATGCCAAGCGGGTGAAGCCTCACTTGGGAGGGAGTGAAATCCCTGCCGCGGCAGCTCCCGGGAGCGTGGCTGGGATGTCCCCCTGTGCTATTCCCTATCCTGCACGGGAGATGCGGGTGCTTCAGCCCTGCCACGGCCCCCCAGCCCCGGCCCTTGCGCCAGCCATAGCCCGGGGGGGACGGTAGCGGGACTCACCCAAGATCCTGACTGTCTGGCGGTGCCCCTTCTCCCGGAGGAGCGAGCTGGGGCCCCGCAGGCGGGTGTTGCTCCGCCACAGCTCTCGGCCGATGCAGCCGTAGAGGACGCTGAGGCAGGTGACGGGCAGCACGAAGTAGCAGGTGGTGACCCAGAACATGGTGGCCAGCAGGCCGGACTGCAGCGCCTGCGGGGTGGGCTTGCACTCGCGGCTGAAGTCGGTGTGGTTGTCGGGCTGCTCCACGCCGACCAGGAAGAAGAAGGGGCTGGCGGAGAGCAAGGCGAAGGCCCAAAGGACGCCGATGGTGGCTTTCACCCGGCGCTTGGTGACGACCACCTTGGCCTTGAGGGGGAAGCAGATGGCGAGGTAGCGCTCCACGGTGAGGGCGGTGATGTGCAGGATGGTGCAGTAGGTGCAGCCCTCGCTGAGGTAGTGCGAGAGGCGGCACAACAGCTGCCCGAAGATCCAGGGCCGGGAGCGCCAGAGGCGGTAGAGGTCGAAGGGCAGCCCCATGAGGATGAGCAGGTCCGAGACGGCCATGCTGCCCAGGTAGAGGTTGGTGGTGGTCTTCATGTCGCGGTAGCTGCGGATGACCAGCACCGTGAGGACATTGCCCGCCACGCCGACCACGAAGAGCCCCAGGCAGACGGCCGTGATGGGAACGAGCACCCACATGGGCAGCGCCAGGCACAGCCGCTCGTCGCAGGGCGGCCACGGCCACGGCCACTCGGGCTCGCCCGCGGTGCCGTTCCCGCCGCCGCCGCGCCGCATCCCGCCGGAGGTACCGCGCCCCCGCCCCGCCCCGCCCCGCCCGGCCGGCCGGCGCACGGGGAGGCAGCGGAGCGGCAGGGCACAGGGGGCGGTGCGCGCACAGGACTGACCACCAGCAGCGAAAAAGAAGGTACTTTTATTGTCCACAGACTCTTAAAGGTACTTTGCTACATCGTTTTATGTATTTTCTATCAGACTATACAGGTTCGTCTTCATGGAGCCCGACGTTGTACAACCGTAAAGTGATATGTTTGGTAGTGTATCTATAGCGTTTTAAAAACTTTAGAGTTTCTCTTTTTCTTTTATTTATTTATTTTTGGAATGTACAGTATATGAGGTAAAATTAAGATTACATTAAAAACTGTCTTCAATGCAGTAATATGCACTGAGGCTCAAATGGCAAATACACTATTAAATGACTATCAAAAATAGGAGCTCATTTGAATTTTACTATGAAAAACGTAAGTCACTGCAGGTTGCCTGCAGTAACAAATCTTACTGTTTTAGACATTCAACCATAAGAAATCTCTGGGCTGTGACACGCAACCTCATTTGCACTGCCAAACATGGCACTTTTAAGAAGGTTCTAGAAAACATCAGTTATCGCGGTATCCTGCGGGAAGGTATCAGCCTATACGTACAAATGACAAATTAGAAATAAAATGTAAACATACAGTACATTTTAAAGACAGATCGTTCTTGCCATGTGGAGGCCAAGTTCTTTGCCATTTCTTCTTTTTTTTTTCTTTAAAAAAAAACGAAACTCAGCAACATTATTCTACAGCACAGATCATTGGACGTATAAACAATTACAATACATGCCCGTTCTAATATAAGAGAAATTCTTCAGAGATCTTCAAAGCACAAGACAGAGGTTCCTTTTTTATTATTATTAAGACTGACAGAAGTGTTTAATACTATTAAAAATGCTAAACTGAACACAACTAGAAGTCATTAATGATCCACTATCTTGTAACTCAAATAAATTAAAAGTAGCTAATTACAAAGTGTATAACAAATAACATAAGTGTGATGAGACAAGGATTTTTTTTAAAGATAGTTTCACTACAAGCTTTGTGTCACTGGCAATCATTGACATCTAGCAAGATGTTCAATGGGATACTTGTTAAAATTCAGTCTGGTCATTCAAGAACTCACAAATGCAAGCTCACAAAACATTGATGAGTTATGCAATTGCAAAGTGCTCTAATGCAACATTAACTACATGCAATCAACAATTTGGTACAGTATCCAAAGAGACATTACATTAAACATTAGGATCTCAAGAAAAAAGCAGCTTTAAGTTTTCTGGTGCAAATTACTACACTTCGTCTTCTGATTTGGTTCTTTAAAGAAAGAAAGAAGAAAGAAAGAAAGAAAGGGAAAAAGGAGAAAGAAAGATAAAAACAAAACAAACAAAAAAAGGCAGTGCTTATTTTTGGTGGATATGGCAAGTGAATGTTGGGGAAACAGCAAAAATTCAATAATGAATTTTATCTCAAAATTCTGTTGACTAGCCAAAATCAGAGGGCACAGACATCTATATAAACTGCATCCAATCAAAGGTCAACTTTGGAAATGTGTTTTTCAATTTAAATAACAAGTCTAAGAAGGTCTCTCACACTCTCCCTTCTATATTCAGAAGAAGTAAGAGAGACATTTTTTGTAAGTAAACACCAAATCCTGGGGGTAAGATAAACCACTTGTGCCATCTCCTTGTAGTCTTTCAAAAACATCTACTTGCAGTGAAGAACTCCACATTTATCAGGTAAGAAGCTTCCTTCATGCATACTCTTCCATCCAGTTTATTATTTGCTGCCTGAGAAAAGCCCCTTCTGTTTTTCAGCATAAATCCTGCTTCCCAAATAATTAAGACAAATGAGGAGGTAGAAATACAGCGCTAAATTGCTTTCACAGCATCAGATTAATATTGTGTACAGCACAAGTTTGTTAGTGTAAGTTTTAAATGCGATCTACACATTCTTCCCTGTTAAGTTAGCAACCCTTAGAAGTGTGGGCCAGGAAATCACCTTTACGCTTGCGTTTACTGGTCAAACCCTTTTCCTTAAACACTGAGTGCCTGCCCCATATCAAGTTTGTACTGCATGAAGGCATATAAAGAAAAGATTATATTTCTGTGGCTTGCATTTTAATAACATGTGTCAGCCTATACCTACGAGTAAGCATTTTAAAGTGGCTGAGAAAGTTTGCATCAGTCCCAATGCCGGTGCTAAATGCCTGGTTTTGTAAAAGCAAGAGAACAGAATTACTTTTAGATTATGAGAAAGTAAAATGTAATGGGCAGCATTACAAAATAGATCTCTTTTCTTCACTTTATGACGAAGTACTGAATGATAACAGCAATCAGAATGGAAAAGATAGCAAAAAGTGCAAGAATGACAGCAGCACACACTTGGTCGCTCTGTGACCATTGTGTCCTTGTGGTTTGCACAGTGTCCTTGTTGGTGCTTGCCGGTGGTTCAGTCCTCTGAGAGATGAACAGCACTGGGGCGCTGTAGGGGCCCACCAGGTCCTGGTGACCCGTGGCCTCTTGGCACTGGCGAATGGCACACGCGCGGAATCGGTATTCACAGTTCAGCTGGAGGCCTGTGTATCGGAACGACCAGTCTGGGCCCTTGTAAATCTGGAAATAAGGGGGGAAAAGGGATCCTTCAAGTAAAAAAGTACTATATACACACGTGTATCTTAGTATGGTTTGGTTTATGGTGAAGGTAACTAAAAAGGATGACAACTCACCAGTGTTTTCACCCATGCAAAGAAAAATGAATAAAAAGCTCAAACACATGATTTAAATACCAGATAAAGTCTCCCGTTATTTTGATGAAACACAAGAACTATGCTTGCTTGTGTGGAATGACGAGTACACACCAAATAAACTCTGTCACAAGCCCCAGCCTTCAGGTGTTTTAGTGACCACTCACAATGTGATGCAATATACAATAATGTATCATGGGATTTTAGGCAGTTAACTCCGTGTCAAGCCAATTCATTTTAAGTCTCATCCAATCCAATGTACTTTGTTGTAGTTATCTGTATTTAAAATATCATGATTTATCCCCATAAACACTGTATCAGGAAAGCCACAGAGCCCTCTTTGTGATTCCTAATTTCATCATATTCCCAAGACAGATAACTTGTGAGGGTGCTCTCCAGAAGTCTCTCAGTTGGCAGGTTAACACGAGTTCACAATGCGTGAACTCGTGCGTGAAGTGCCTAATTCAGTGAAATCTAAATTCTGGTTTCTCTAATTAAATTTGCAGCTATGTAAAGGTTCTGTGAAAGCCAACAAAACCTCACAGGGGTGCAGTTATAGGTACTTCAACAGGTATGGAGGTATTAGGTGAGTAGCACAGTGCAATTTGATTTCTCTCTTTAAACCCCTTCACTTTCTCACCTCCAAATATCTGGATTTGCTTTATTTAACTGGTAGCATGATACAGAAATATCACATCATCAGGAGCTCTCCCTACAGTTACATACTGTTAGACAGTATCCTGAAAATGCACACTAGAAATGTAAAGAAAGAAAATCCCTTCTGATTCTGCTATTTGAAGAGCTCTTGCTGTGCCTGAGGCTACTCTTACTCAGAGTCCTCTGACAAGCTGAGCTTTACTGGAATTTACAATCTAGAGACTTTTCTCTCTAGGGAGGGCAGGCCATTGGAAGTGCAGCTTCCTCAAAATGCTGCTAATTTGGATCATGCATTTGGGAGTGAGCAAAGAGGCCACTGGCACACATCCTACTCCAGCTCCAGCTATGCCAGCTAGCAGGGGTTACCACCCTCAGCTGCTTGTCCCCAGTGCCTTGCCTGAAGTTGTCTTCCCCTCCAGTGTGTTTCCTGGGGTATTTACGTGGCTGCTTCCTAACCCCTTTAAGATCTTTGACTATGTCAAAGCTCAAACAGCACATTATTAACCTACTTTGTCTGTAGCATGGAGGGAGCAATGACATGAGCAATTTGGATGACAGATCAGGAAGAAGGAGGAGAGGAGAGTCAAGTTTTGGCAGTGAAATAGCAGGGAACAGCTTAGAGCAGACTTCCAGGTAGTTTATTTTTTGTCTATGTCAAATAAAATTGCCACCATCATGTCTAAGTGTCTTAAAGGCTGTTTTCATACAGTTTACTTCTTGATTGCTCCAATTTTAATTTCTGCAAATTAAGTATTTTCTTCTAATTTACTACACTAGACTGCTCTGCAGAGGCAAAAACAATCACACACCTCAGCCTACTTTGTTATTACCATACTCAAACAGCCAACTTTATTTTCTTGCCCAGGTCATTTGGCAACGCACACTGATAATCAAAGTGTAATTTAACTGTGTCTAAAAGCAACAAAGACCATGCCTTAGGTACCTAATGTTGTATTTACAATGTATTTACAATGTTGAAGTTACAAAAAGACTATCCATGTGGCAAGCCATTTTGGTTTATGGTTAATATTTTAATGAAAAATTTAACAAATTTTAATAAGAATTTGAATTTTAATTATATTTTAATAAGAAACACAGTGCTACGCTAAAAGTTATGAAAATATTAAGGCCTATAATCTACCAAAGCACAGGTGAAACTTATTTAATATTGAAGTATGATAAAATGATAATATACTAGAATTAACTGCTGCTGTCCTGGAAGGAAAGTTCCTTGGCTTATTAGTATGAATCAATTTTCAAGCCTAATTTCATGTCAAATATCAGGCAGTTTACAAACTGTAAAGCAAAAAAAAAAAAAAAAAACAACAAACCAAACCCAAAAAAAACCAAACAAACTGGGAAGCAAAATTAGCACTGAATGCAGGATAATTTGTACCTTGGCATTTCAAACTGCTTCTTTGCTCTTAGTGTAAAGAGAACCCTTTGCCCCTTTTCTCCCCAGGCTCAATTCTGTACCATTAGGTAAAAGATTTCTTTTTGTCAGTTGTTCCATTAGGGGATGACTTCCTCACCACTTGATGTCTCAAGCTGTATTTAGTGAACATCAGTGTAACCCAGAGAGGCTGTAATTTAGTGCAGAATCTCCTTCTGAAATGAAGGAGATGGGTTTAGGAGATATTACCTTATTATTTAGTAACAAAAAGTTAACATGGTGACTAAAACCATGCTGGAACACAATAAGCTTTACTAAATCTAATCTCAACTAGTTTTACTAAACTAGTTGTCACAAACAATAATCAAAGAAAACTACAGTTACTTAGATACATCATACCTGTTTGAATTCTGAGTCTTTTCCCACCATGACCTGAAGACAGTAGATAACTGGATCACCCTTCATGGGCTGCAGAACCTCCCATGTGATTTCACAAGTGTGATCGTTTATTCTCTCTATCCTTGGTGCTGAAGGAAGGAAAAGTGACAGCTGACTCTGCCTTCCCCGTCACATACTGTCATATTCTAATGACCTTTAAAATTATATATTCTACGTCCAATTTTATCTCAGAGAAACAAAATATGCAGATTCAAATTTATTCTTCCTCCAGTGTTTTCTGGAGCAACAACTACTAATTCATATAGGCCTCTCTTTGTAGTTTAGGTATCATCCAAGAGCAAGCAAATAAAATTTAGTAACTGTAAGTGTGCCTCACATACAAAAAAACTCCCAAACAATGCTTAAAATGATTCTAAACATGCTAGAAAGCATTTTCACCTTAACTTGCCACTCTTCTCATAAGCAGGAGAACTAAGTACAAACTTCTTAGGTCAAAGAATGCATAAACCCCAAGTCTTCCATTTTTGGAGGGAATATTTTAGGCAACTACATGAAAGGAGCCTTCTCCCACTATCCCTACCTGCACTAAAAAGGGCTTAATATTCTCAACATCCCAAATACAACACAATACCAAAACCAACCTGCTATCCTCCCACCCCTCAAATGAAAAAAGAAGAACCCTTACCTTTCAAGGCAGCTGGAACAGATTTGGGAGTAGTGAAAATATATTCTTGAGAAAGGGGACCTTCACCAGCTTCATTACATGCCTGAATACAAAATTTGTATGATGTTGACTCACTGAGTCTTTGAACTTTGTATGTATGACAAGGTCCTCTGTATAAGGATACAAACCTGAAAATGGAACAAGTAGCTTATTTTGAACACAGAAAAGGACTTCTGAAGCACTATTGTCTTGAAATCTGTTCCCATAATTTCCCAGAATCTAATGAAAAGCCCTGAAACACTTATTTCAGAGTTAAACAGTGTTCTGGCTGCTATAAAACAATAAGCACATTTTCCAGTGGCAAGTTTTTATTTCTTTGAAATAAAAATCTCTTGCACAGAGAAGAATACAGATTCTCTCTTACCAAAAATGTTCCTAAGCATTTTAAGAAACTATTTTGCATTTGAAACAATAAGAAAAGACAGCAGTTGTGGCTCTCAATGAACTGCATTTTTTAATTTTTTTTTTTTGCTTGGCCATCTACTCCTCCAACATGTTTAGCTTTCCAAAATTAGGTAACTAGATTTTAGCTTTTTGCCCCTTTGCAACTCTCCCTTACTACACCTAAAAAATGTGCCATGGATCTAGTTGCTTTTGTACATCATTGCTGGAGAGGGGCTCATGCAGACCTGCACAGGAAGGCAGAGTCACACTTTGTAGTGCACACCAAATCTGTTTCTGGGAGTTTTGTACACTGCCCACTGTCCTTCATGTGGCAATTCTTGCACAAACTGATCATGGCAACTCTTGTTTGATTTTCAGTCTTCGTGTCCCCAGGACACAGCACAAATTTCTCTCTTCCTACAGGGGTTGTCATCTAGCTTTTTCTTGTCTTTTAAAATTAAAACAGATGGTACCTGCACATGACCTAATCTTTGGGAATGGCAATGAATTTCCTCCCACTTAAATAGTCTAATTTATTTTCCTCACAGCACAGCAATTTCACATAGTGGATCTCTTTTATCTTTTTGTCAAGCTAAAGCTGCTCATCAGACACGAACACTTTGTAGCAGTACTGCTTATTTTATGATTTGGGCAAGGGTTCTTGCTGTACCACCTCAGCTGACATTCTATTTAACATGAGACAAGGAATCCCTCAAAATAAATTGTATTAATTTCTACTAAAATAATTGCATGTAAGGCAACAGAGATATCAACAATATCCCTTCTGATATTAAGGATATAAAATTCACAACACTGATTGGACTTGTTACTTTGACAAAATATTTAACCAAAAGCGAGAGGGAAAAGTATGCTGGTATGAAACACTGCATGAAACACTGTTGAACTGTAAGTAAAAAACAATTAAGTTTTTTGTCTTGTACTTCTCAGCACAGAACACTAGAGCCCTTCTTGCCTTGCCAGAAGAGACGACCTCCTACATCTGCTGTAAATCACCATAGCATATGGAATTCTGCCCTTTGCTGCCACCTCCCAAGCATCAGATCACAGTGACACAGGGCAGATTAAAGCAATGCCAAAACCAACCTTCCATTCTTATCCTCCATTTGAAGGTGGTACTGGATGGAGTCAGTTAATGCTTTTGCAGTTCCCTCTCCCCACTTCAGCTTGAGAGTCTGAGAACTGTATGCAGCACATTCCAGGCGAGGTGGATCAGGGGGGAGAGGCTTTGTTTTCAGTTTTATGGTGTGGCTGAAAGGACCCGCTCCAAGACTATTTAGGGCTTGAATTCGTACCCTAGCATTTGGAAAAAGAGAGAGTAAATTAACTTGAAATTAGATTCTAAAAATAACTGGTCATATCCACCATTCTCATTAAATAGAGAATAATAGTACTATCTACAATAAAGACTTTTATGCTATTTGATAGACTGTCAAGAATATGCAGGTGCATCACTTTCCTTACATTTTAAGGAGCTAGCTTGATTAGAAATAAAAATATTCAAAGTCAATTCACATTAGTGAAAAGATGTAAAAGCTCTGTGAATTACTTCAAGAGTGGTCCACGTTTCTGACTGTGCAGGCCTTGAACCAAAATTTTGATACCCACACTGCAGTGATGAGGGATGGTAAAAAACCCACCCTAAAGAGGGGAAACCATATCTGTGACTGTTTTATCAGGTAAGTTCAAGGATGACTAACAGACATTTTTATGGACTTTTCTGAACAGATCCTATTCATATGAAAATAAAGCGATGGTACCCAGCCACCTCTTTTGCTGTTCCCACCCACAGTAACACATCACTGGGCACCTGCAAACACAAGCTCTCCTGGGTCTGTCTGCAAAGCGAGAGGGGGAAAACAGAAAACACCAAAGGAGACAAAGCTGAGGAAGTTGTAGAACTTGATACTCAGGAATAAGGTAGGATTTTGTTTTTCTATTCTTTGATACTCCAAGGAAGAAAATGCACATTAGATTTGTAAGTAAGAATTAAAAGACTTAGCTAAGAAATTTATTTCTGAAAAGGAAAAAGCTGAAAACAGAGGCTGTTTATGTATTTCACAGGTAGCCACAGGCAGCAAAGTGTGTCTAATTTAATTTTGCAGACTCAACATTTGCTTGTCCAAAATAGTATCTAGGTAACTGGAAAAAAGTAATCACACTAATTAAATTTGAAACAGTCAGCCACACCACTGCAAAATGTGGAAACACAAATGTGTACGCAGTCTAAAGGACAAATATTTCTCCTTCGCTGCAGTAATTTTTAACGTTATGCTAATTTATTACAGCCCAGAACTAAGGTTAATACATGAAGTTTTTCATTTGCACAAGGAGCTGACAGTGTATTCAATAAAAAAAACTTATGTGGGCAGAAGTATAGACCTATCTCTGCAATGGAAATGACTCTTTTTTTCAGTCTACTGACACAACGAGAACAGCTCTTCAGATTGCCAGCATTATTGTTAAATAATTATAAGGCACACAGAAATACTGTATTCTCACATAAAGCCATAAAACAGTAATTAGGGATTCAGAAAATTGCATAGCGGCATGATATCCTAATTATACTGAAATCAGAGTGGGTTAAAAGTCTGACTTCAGTGGGACTGCCATTCTCCTTTAACACTGAGGGCATGTTTTTGTAACAGGGATGTAGCACCTTCAGGCAAAACTACTGATTTTTGCATTTATATGTTTCAGTAACCCTTGGAATGAACATAAGGATGATTTCAGCAACTAAAATTCTTCAAAAGATATGCATAGCTGGCTGATTTTTCAAACTGATACTGTTCATGCTGACTTCCACTTTTTCTGCAGATGAGGCATTGCAAGTTGCCATGAACTGTCATTAGATCAGACTGGGCATAGTCCTTCCTTGGATGGATTTTACCTTTGCAGAGAAGCAACCAGTCCAAAATCAGTTATGAATCTGAGTATGTGATGTGAATTCAGTTAAATTGACACATTAACCAGACAGATAGAATGATATTGCAATAAACTAACATAAATTATTTTTTTGGAGAAAATAAAAATAGCACATCTATTTATGATGATCATCATTACAAAACTTGTTTTTGCTCCATGGCTGTGCACTAATGTGTTTTTGAGAGTAATAATGAAGACAATTAAAAAAACCAAGGAAAAAAAGCATGTGGTCTTGTGGAAGAAACAGCAGGCTGTCAAGTAGCTGTGCATCACATACCTGTAGGTAGTATCTGGCTGCAAGCCATCTATAAAATAGGTCAGATCCTTCCCAACAGTTATTGGCTGCTTATCTCCAAAGTCTATGCTGTAGCCAAGGATTTCAGATCCATGGTCACAAGGCTCTTCCCAGCTTATAGCAAGGCATGTGGAAGGAGAATAGTGTGGACTTTCAACTTCATCTTCACTTAGTCCACGAAGACAGGTCACAACTGCAGGTACAGAGGCTGGAGTCATACATGCCACTACTTCACTGAAAGGGCCTGCACCTGCAACATTCACTGCCTGCAAATCCAAAGCAGACCATGTTTTATATGGCAGAGTCAATTCCTGTTTCCAGATTCCATTAAAAACAGTTTTACATCTTTACCTGAACCCTGCAATAGTATATAGTGGCAGGCAAAAGCCCTTTCACTTCACAGCTGAGCCCAGGCCCACAATAGGAGATTTGCATGCATCCTTCCACACCGCCCCACTCCAGTCGATACTCCGTGACATCAGCTCCATTACTCACTGGTACCTTTAAAATGGATATCAATAATTAGAAGCTAAATACACTGACATAAGAGAAAAAATCAACCAAACTCACCACATCTATATTTTGGTTTTGTTCCAGAGGAGTCTTACCCTTCCATTTCTTTGCTGATTTTTAATTTAGTGCAATACACATAACAGGCAGAATCTGATACAAACTTCAAGAAGTTCAACCAAGACAACTGCAAACACAAAGTCCTGGACTACTACAAAAAAGTACAGGGTGAGGAGCAACCTTTACCAAAAAAACCCCTGTGTGTCCTGGAGAGAAAGCTGAATAAGAATCAGCAGTGTATGTATGATGAAGATGAACGACATATTGGCTGTGTTAGCAAATGGGCAGCAAGAAGGGTAAAAAGAATAATGATTCCCCTCTACTCAGCACTAGTGAGGCTGCATCTCCAGTACCATGTCCTGTCTTGGGATCCCCAAAAGGAGATGGACATTGACATAATGGAGTAGGTCCGGCAAAGGGTCACGAAGCAGGAGTGCAACACACACAAAAAAGTAAAGTTTACTTGACAGCAAGGTGATTCACCTAAGGGAAGATCTTACTGCTGCCTTAAATTACTTACTGGAAGGGTACAAACATTATGACAAAAGCTTTCCGTGAAGATAGCACAGTGCCAAGACAAGAGTCATGACTTGCATTAAAGGGTATTTTGACTAGACACAAACAAAAAAAATCCAACAGAATGAGAGTTTACCCAGACAGTTTTACTAGGCTGAAACATCTTCATTCTTGGAGATAAAAAAAAATTCACTGGGAAAGGCCCTAATAAATTTAGCCTATTTGAATAGAAGGTTGAACTAAATGACATTCAGAGGATACTTGTGCCTTAATTATTGTGTGACTCTGTAAAACAGATATCTGACATCACTCAAATTAACTCTACCTGAATGTTTTATGTTATTTTTTAAAAAAGGCTTTGCCTTGCAGATATTTAAGGAGTGCTCCTCTGACATTCCTCTAGTAGGAAGCATGAACACTACTTTTCAGGTAAAACAGTTTAATTTTTTTTTTTTCTGTACAGTTCTGTAACTCAGATACTTCACCCCATCTCTAAAAGCTTATACTCTTATAAACTCTTATAAAAAAGCGTAAAAGCTTATACTCTTTTAAAGAGTATTCCCAGATAGAATCTTTCTTTTTACAAGCTTAATTTTTATCTATTGCATTTTTTAAAATCAGATATCTAAATACTATGGGTTTATAGGAAGTCTGTGAGGCTTTTGCTACGTTATTACTGATGTAATTATATAAAAATAAATTAGATTATAAAACCAAGACGTGCACAATAATCTATTGTATTATGTGGATACATTGTCTCTGAGGAACTATAACTATGTTAAAGAAAAATTTTAAGATGAGACTGCATCACTCAGAAATGCAGAGCAGCAGCTGTGGCAAAACTTTTAAGCAAAAGAACACAGTAAGATCCAGTACCTGCAGCCTGCCAACTTACTGCTGCCTTATAATGGCATGATGAATGACTAAGGTTTTACCTGCTGGATAATCAGGTAAGTTTGCTTACAAATAAACTGATTAAAATACAGTATTAGACTTTTCAAGCTGAACTCAAAAATGCAGAAGACCTTTTATGTTAACACAGGTGATGGCACGGCATTCTTACCTCCCATGACACCTGAGCACAGGCAGCAGATCTGCACGCCACTTGAGGGGGCTTGCACTGATCTGGGGGTCCAGGTGCTGTAGTTATTTCACATTTTTCTGAGTAAGGTCCAAACTGTTAAAAAGGGAGTTGATACAACTACACTGTAAAAATGAAATTACTACTTTAAAAAAAACAGTTTACCACAGTAGGGACTGCAACCTGAAATGTTGTATTACTTCTTTATAAAATAAATTTCCGTGGACTGTCGATTCAGATTCAGGATTTATTTCAGTATCTGACTATCCTCCAGAACAGCTATAAATTTTTCTTCATTCCAGCAAATGCAACGTGAATAAATTTGACACTTCAAACTCTTGGGAAAACAGCGAAAGTACTACCCAAAGCCTTATTCTGAAGTTACATGATGGCTGCACTGGAACATAAACCAATTGGTACTGCCTATTTACACCTATGTAAAAGAAATAAAGGATTCCAAAACTGCTAAACAATGAACCATTCTTTGCAGGGTGAAGGGAAGGTAAAAGTTAGGATAATGTTTTAAAGCCTTAAGCTGCAGACCTCTCCACAAACAGTGTCAATGCACCCTGACAGTTTTCAATGAAGTGTACATTATTGAACAAATCCTGAACAAATCAGGACTTTGGGTACACAACTAAAAAGCTTGTTCTACAGCAACAATTGATTTAAACACATTCAATATTCCAACGAGGGAAATGATAGAACATGTACTCAGAAGTTAAACTAAATATAAAAATGGAGAGTCAGGAAATATTAATTATTATGTTCTGAACACCAACAGCTGTAAAAATAAAGGTCAATCAATTTACAAAGCTGTATATAGAAAATAATTTGCTACTTCACATCAAAATAGTGAAGTTGTAACAGTACTTTAATAAAGTACTGTTAGCATTTCCTAATATTACTGTTCAGATAAAAGACATAATTAGCTATTTTCTCTTCCCTTCATCTAAAAATCCCCTTCATTATAAACTGATGTTTAACCATCTGTTCCCACACAACAATAAGCTATGTGACCCAAATGACTCTACATTTGGAAATCCTAATTTTAAAATTACTCTTAAATGCTTTGTTTGAAATAAAAAATCCTTAATAGTGATTGCAGTCTCTGTAATGAATTTCATTTCAGACTGCCTCCTTACCCCAGCCTTGTTAGCTGCTCTCAGTCTGAAGCTGTACATCCTCCCTGGAAGAAGGCTGCCCACTGTGCATTCAACATCAGAACCCTGGTAAACCTCTCTGTGTTCATCGCTTTCTGCCTGAAACATTTCCAGACCATAACAGGTAATGGGTGAACCACCATCTACCTGAGGTGGTCCTAGAAATAAGAAAGAAAGAAAAGCTTATTTAATTTTAAAACATTGGAACACATTTCAATCCCTTACAATCTCTAACACTTGTAAAAAAATTACCCCAACGCAGCTGAATTTCTCTTGCTCTTGGTCTACCCTGTAGCCTTGGAGGCTGGCATGGACCAGGAACCACTGCTGGTGTCTGCACCAGTAAGGAATCAGTTACCTAAAAATGAAAGATAGATTAATGAAGTTATCCAGGCCAAACCAAAAACTATCAGCTATGCCAGAAGTAAAGGCAAATACCTGAGTCAGAAACAAGACAATACCTTTTTAATTACATCTTCAAATATGTGAGGATACTGAAGTGATCTGGTATATATTTCTCATAATATAAACATTGCCAAAATAATCACACAATACGCAAAATTTGCTTTTGTATTTTGGTACACGTGCAAGGAGTAGAATTAAAAACAGTGGTTAATTATCAGTACAAACCTAGTACAGATGCTTGAAATATGTCTTATTCAATGTAAACTCATCCTCTTTTGTATCAGACTGCAGTTTAAAGAGTTCTAAACCCTAAGGGCTGTATACTTTCCAAGGAAGAACCTCTCAGAAAGCATAAGTGGGCAGAAGTGTCAATCAGAAGAAATTAAAAAAAAGAAATTTCAACTTTTTCATTGCTTAGCAATACCTAATGAGCAACAAGTTTCCACCTTTGATTTGAAGTTTGGGCAAAAATTATGTAAGAACATAACATGCAGCAGATGGCATTGACTGTTCTGGATGCAGACAGAAGTGAGCAGAGACAATGAGGGATTTTTAGCTTCAGCTTGATACAGAACAAATAGGAAGTTGGAAAGACTTCAGGTTTACAGATGAATCTCAGAGTCTCATTTCACAGCTGGTTTCTAGGTATGTTCAAGAAAGAGTGGACTGGTTTTCAGCTCCTTTGAATACATTGTTGCACTGAACAACTGCTGCTACTTAAAAGGCAGAAAGTTTCACATATGTTAATGAGAAGCTGCAGAAGCATTAATTACATCTTTCTTCACAGTTCTTCTGTTGATTTCTGACACCTTCAGAGAGTGTAAGGACTCCCTGGAAGTTATTTGCTATTGGTACTCAAGGTTAATTCTAAATTCCAGGGGTTGGGCTGTAGGGAAGTAGGTTAGCAGAGTGAAAGTCTCCAAAGGCTTGTGGTCTGGTGACTGGGAAAGCACTGCAGCCAAGCCAGCATTGAAGAAGTCCAGATTTATTCTTAAGGCAAGGTGGATGTAGTAAAAGTTATCTTTGCAGGAGACTTCTATGTGGAGGAAGAGCACATATGTTTCATGTCATAAGGCAGGGCAAGGTAGAAACTGCAAACACCAAGAATGGAAGGCTTTAAAGCTTTTGTGAGAGCAGCTTGACATTAAAGTCCTGCTGGAAGTCTGCAGAGAGCCAGGGCTGGCTTTGTTACACTTGTTGCTGAGAAGGGAGAGCAAATGCAGCAAGACATTTTGGCACCAGCAGCTGGTCTACACCACAGAATTGACAATGCAAAGTGTGTGTCTGTAATGTGTGTGTGTAAAGAAGCACAGTATGGCACAGCACATTGTTTGGGAATACTGAAAAGTAGAGCAATATAAACATTTAAATTGTGCTTGAAAGAGCACGGGAAGCATAACCCTGTAAAGCCTGAGTGAAGACTTCCCCTGCCTGCTGGGGTAATACATTTAAATTGTGCTTGAAAGAGCACGGGAAGCATAACCCTGTAAAGCCTGAGTGAAGACTTCTTCCCCTGCCTGCTGGGGTAACATGGCTACTCAGACAAGGTACTCCACTGACTACAGGAAATACATTAAATTCATAGAATCACAGAATCTTCTGAGTTGGAAGGGATCTACAGGGATCATCGAAGTCCAGCTCCTGGCCCCAAGACAGCCCCAAGAATCACACTATGTGAGAAACCATTGTCCAAATGCTTTGTGAACTCTGTTATGCTTGGGGCTGTGACCAATTCCACGGGGAGCCTTTTCAAGTACCCTTCTTAAACTGCTGTATTGGTTTACGTCTTAATAAATGACATTGTATAAATGTATCACATAGGAAAAGTATCTGTTTCTGTAAATAAGACTGTCATGTCAAACAAAATATATCAGGGAATAATATTCAGATATTTTTCTTTAACAAATGAGCAGAAACTTGAACCACTGTGCAGCAATACTGGAACTCCTCTGAGGTTCTAATTATGGCTATTTTGTTAGGCACGTCTGCACAATATTTGCTTAAATATCTACTGGACCAGATTTTCTTACAGAGAGATTTTATTTAATAAAAATATTAGCTGATATTACCGTGCTTTGTCCTCCTTCCCCAACGCAATATACACGTAAGCGATAGGAAGAGCCCGGATTTAGTCGGTCACACACATGTTCCCTAGCGGCTCCGCTGTATATTGTATCCCACTTGTTTCCTGAAAGGTTAGGAATAAGTGTGCAATGAACCAAAGTGGAATTTGCCACACTTCAGTACCAGCCACAGCAGGTATCCTAATTTCACTAAAATAAGTGTGTGCCTGATGTTTATGAAAAAAAATAGAAATTGGGACTGCTTTGAATTTCCTGGAAGATCCTATAATTTCATAGTTTATTAGGTGTATATCTGCTGAAGTGAAATAGCTTCCTTATTTGGGATTTGACTTCACTAAAAAACAACTTACTTGGTCAGCAAGAACATTCAACATCATAACCAAATAAACAGGAAAGATACAAAAGTAAAATTTTTCATGGAAAACAAGCTTCAAATTACATTATCATTTTGCAGGCTGTAACTACAGTTTACAATTGGTGAAGCTTGTTCCTGTGTCCCTGAATAGCCCAGAACCATGTGAAATTCTGATTCCATTATTTGCTACTCTTAGATCAGAAACTCTTGAGCATTCTGTCTTTCTCTTTAAGTTATTAAGCAGGGAACCTGGGGACTTTTAATTAAATCTCCAACAACTCAATACACCAGAATTTAAAGGGCTGGGAATGAAACGTAATGCACAGCTCACTAAATCTGTGTGAAAGCCATTCCAAAAGTGGCTTAATGTGGACATGTGACAGAGAGAGGAAAGCAATAGACTAACAGCCTGAGAGGGCTCCCATCATATCTGGGGGCAGTGCTCTGTCTTAATCTGACACAGCACTGAAGAAGTTTAAACTTTCATTTTTGGTGTAACTGTGTTTTTGAACTCAACAAAGCTACTTAACTAGATTTTAAAATAATTTAGCAAGATAGGTTTATGTCCAATTTAGAAATACTGCCAGTTTCCTTTCTGTATGAAAGAACAGAAAGCAAATAGCAGAAAGTTACCCCAGCTGCATCATTGTTCTCATTTAATAGTGATAAATGGAGTACAAGCTTTTCTTTCATCTGCCATGCAGACAACAAAAGCTACACATCCCTGTCTTCTTGCCCTAAAATGTCTGAAATGTGTAATTCCATTTCCAAAACTGAATAGACCTAATTAGTAAGTTAAACAAAAAGCATCTCTTGCGTCACAGAATTTTATAGCATCTCTCTTTTCTAAATCAGAGAAAAAGAACTTCTTGTGTACAAGCATCAATGTGCCTCTATTTTCTTTTTGATGTCAGTCCCTGGGAATAACTTTCCCAGTCATAATAAACATTTTCTGTTTCCCACATGCACAGAGAGACAGGCAAAAAACCAAAACCACACAAGTGAATGCCAGTGTATGATCCTAATACTTACCACTTAAGCCTTCAGACATTTCCACAACATATGTATGTATTGCTGCTCCCCCATTGTCTTTTGGTGGATCTATAAAAAACAGCAATATTCCAACTAAGTGAGGTAAGTTAAATGGCTTTATAGCTTTTGGGGAGGTTTTCCCAATGGCAAAACCAACAGACAGCTGGAGATGGGTGCTTATTTAGACAGAAGGCATCCTAGTCCAGGGCAGCAGCAAATCACTCCAAGTCCTGCTGTGTGAAAGCCAGCTCTCAACCCTTCTGTGTACTCTACACAGGAGAAAGGACAAGGGAATCACCCCTGGGAGATGCCACAGCAAACATTTCAGTCTCAAGTACCTGAGTATGGACTCAGGGACACAGACTCTAATGGTCATGTAATTTGGACTGCACACAGGAAAAATTATCACATGGATTTGTATATAAAAATATTATGAAATTATTTAAGGACAGAATTTCAAAACCCTAAATATTTTGGGATGGAATAGAATAGTCAAGAGCTCTACACTGAAGACTTATCTCTTAACTTCCACTATATCACTTGAAATTGAGTGCACTGTCCTCCCTGGTGCAGTATTCATGTACAAGATACAAATCTACAGACCTTTCTTGGACATATAATTCTAATACTGTTTCTCAAAGATGACTTAGAAAACAGCAAAATTAAAGTAATGTGAAACAACATTTTAAACAAATATAAAGACAGCATTATACTTCAACACAGAAGGGTACTCCTGCCTAATCATCACATTATGCTTGTGCTGGATGAAATGCTGTTGGCTTTTAGGCAAGGGTTATGTATCATAAAATGCCAGCTAAATAAAATGAGACTTAGATGGCAGATAGCACTTTTTTGGTTGGAAGGAAATGACTCCAAATGGAAAATAAAATTGTCACGATAATTACCACATAAAAAGAATTTAACTGTTCCAAATTAAAAGTTTTATGTATAAATTGATATTTTAGGTAGCTTTTGACATACAAATAAGGTATTTTCAATAACTTCATACATTATGCATTATACATAAAGGATCAAGTATCAGGTCCTGATGTAGAAAAGCACTCTGGGAAGATACAGGGCTGGACCTGTTGAGTACTATTTGTACTCTACAAGTAAATTTCTTATTACTGATGCTAAAGAATTAAGCACATTATTAAATGGAAATAGGTAAGAAGTGACAATAAATGTAATATTTTACTGTTTAGTTTTCTACTGAAGTACTGCATCACACAGTACTGTTCAACCTTCTCCTATTTTACAGCACAAGGCTAAAAATTCCCGAACTTAAGGAAAAGTTTCTCAACATCCTTAGCAAATAAAAATTTATCTCGCAAAACCAAATAGTTTGAAGATACAGGTTGAACTTCAATCTTCTCTTTCACTAAGAATTCAGAATGTCATGCACCTACTTTTTGTGTCAGAGAAACAGAACTTCTTAGTACATCAATTAACCACACTAAGTGTTGTAGTCCTCTGCAATAACAGTCCCTATCACAATTAGCACATTATTCTTCCCATATAATTAGCTGTACTGCCACACTAAGTATTTTGAGTCAGTATTTTTCAATATAAATGGATCATAAAGGCTCAGTTGACTGAAGTGTCACTAAAGTAAAACCTGACCTTCTGTATAAAAAATATTTAATATATATAATATATATTAAAATACAGAAGAAATACCCTAATTAGAGCTGGAAAACATTCTTACCCCAGATTATTTTAAAACTCTGTGCATGAATTTTTCCTTTCACTGTGGGTTTTGAAGGTACTCCAGGTTTGTCTGGACAAGTAATGTACTCCACTGTCTCACTTGGACTGCTCTTCCCTTCTGAGTTATAAGCAATGACCTGCAAATATATATTAAATACTATAAACACATTGGATAGTGCTATGCTATTCACTGTTTATGGTAAGTACAAATTAATTTGTATTGTATATATAGACAGACACATAATAAATTAACACAAAACCTAAAGTTATTATATACATTCATTTTACATTTTCCTTAGTCCCATAGTTAGACAATCACTATATTGAAAATAGAAATCCATGCAAATTGCCAGAAAAACCAAATTCTTAAAAAAATTTCCTCCCATGCTAGTACAGCACCTTCTTTTACATAAATACTGAGATAGAAAAAGTATTTGTATAGCTAACTTGTATTAACAACAGCAAAGGGTTTTTATAAACTCTTCAGTCCCAAGGATTATTATGGCAAAAGTTGTCATGAAAGTCATGTGAAGGACAAGGAATTATATTTGTCAAGGGTAAATTGTGTTTAACCAGCCTGAGTGTTTCCATGATGAAACAACTTGCTTAACAAATGGGGGAAAGCTGGGGACATCATCTAGCCTAATTTTAGTTTGATCTCCACAACATCTACATAGACAAGCTGGTTAAGATAGAACAGATGGACCACAAGATGGCTGTAGAAAACCTGACAGAATGCCAGGCTCAAAGGGTGTTGGCTAATGGTTTGAAGAAAAATTAGCAGCTGCTCATCAGTGGATTTCCTCAGCAGCCAATCCAATGTCAGATTCTATTCATTATCTTTAGAAGTGATCTGGATAACAGGAGTGAGTGATGCTCCCAGATTTGCATATAGTACCAAACTAGGAGAAGACAAACATATGCTGGAGAGAAGAGCCATCATACAGACTTTGACAGGCTGAAATATTGCATGAACAAAAACTGTATGAGCTTTGGACAAAAATACAGTCTTGCACCTGGGATGGAATAATCCCAGCACCAGTACAGTCTGGGGTCTGACTCTACACAGTTTTTCTTTTTTCAGCTCTGGTGAGAAGGACATTGGCATTTGAGCAGGAGCAAGCCAAATTAATCAACAAAGCATCTTGGCAGTAGTAAAACCAAATTGTTTCATGGGCTGAATCAGCAAGAATTTACCCAGCAGAACAAAGGATTTAATTACGTCACTTTACTCAGCACTTTAAAAACCATTTAAAGTGCTGAGTAAAGCAAAACCATGCGTCCAGTTTTGGTCCTCCCAGTTCAAGAGACACTGGGAAACTGGAAAGAGTTCAGAAGAGGATCAGCATGACGATCAGAGGATTAGAGAACCTGACATCAGAAAAAAGCTTTGTTTCATTCTGCCTGAGTAAAAAGAAGTTTCATTGGGAAGGATCTAATCACAGCCTTCCAACACCTAAGAGACAGTTACAGAAGAGATGAAGACATTGCCTTCCAAAGGATCTGTAATGACAGGACGAGAGCCAGCAAAGTGTGTTAGGGGAAATTCTAGCTGGATATAACAAAGGAAATTAATTACCATCAGAACAGACAGCCCAAAGAAGTGGTTGAATCATCCTTGCTGGAGTACTGAAATCTCAGCTCAACAGGGCTGGGACAGGGTTGAACTGCCTAAGATAAGGCCTGGCTTTCTACGCAAATTTGACCCAGATGATCACCAAGAGTCCCTTCCAACCCAGACTGTTCTGTGATTCTAGGAAAACAAATTCTTCCTATTCTTTACTTTGTAGTTTAGTTTAGTAAAAAGCTAAACCACCTAGGAAAAAAGAAAAAAGGGAAAAAGGAGGTTTTTTTCAGCTTTTATATCTGTTTTAAAAATAAGCAGAATCGAAATGATAGCAGTGATGTTAGTAGACTGAGAAGAGGAAATGCAAGCTAACATGTCTCTCAGACATTAAGTCTCCCAATACAGTTTACAGGATTAATAATCATCTGGTTGTCTTTGTGCCCTTACAAATCAAGTTAACAGGCAGTTAGCATTTACGTATTATAATAAGGTTTCCAATGGTTATAAAGCTTCTTTCAAAAGCCTTAAGGAATATTACTACTAATTAAGTCTTTCCTCTGTATAATAAAAATTAAAGACCTGATCAACATAACATTTGTTTCTCCTTTATGCTCCATGAATGCGTGAACAGACTTCTGTTTATTGTTTTGCTAATAAAAATAGGGTATAAACATTGGAGTTTATTTTAAAGAGAAACTTAGGATGTTTAAGTAACTATGCATTTACTAGTAATGCGTGTAAATCATGTGTAGTATTACTTTCAAAGGAAGACTGTATTTGTGTCCTGCAAAAGCTAGTTTCAAGAGAATTAGCTCATCTTTAGTTCATGTGTAGCCATAGTAGTGCTAGAGATATACTGTATATTTTAAATTACTTAAATACTAAGTTATGCAAAAATCCCAACAAAATTATATTCAGAAGTGCAAAATATCATCTGAAAAGGAGTACTTACATGCTTTAGTGTTAACTCAAATCAATCAATGTTTAAACTATTGATATGCATATTGCAATGAGAAGCTCTTCTTCAACAGTTCCCAATTCTTCCTTAAATATTTTACTTAGTATTCTTCCTTAGTATTTTAGATGTATGCATGACAACAGCTATCAGTATTTCTCACTTGCAGAGAGATGAGGTTATTCTGACTGTGCCTCAAGTTGCACCAGGGGAAGTGTAAATTGAATATTAGGAAAAATTCCTTCACAGAAAGAGCAGTCAAGCATTGGCAATGCTGCCCAGGGAACTGGTTGAGTCACCACCCCTCGAGGTATTTCAAAGATGTGCAGATATGTTGCTTAGGGACATGGTTTAGTGCTGGGTTAAGAGTTGGACTCGATCTTATAGGTCTTTTCCTACCTAAATGATTCTGTGATTCATACTGTCAGATATGTCCTTAGCTTTGTTACAAAACCCAAGCAACTATTCAAGAGTAACTCAGAACATAGAACAGCCCAGGTTGGAAGGGACCTGAAAGGTCATCTGGTCCAACCCTTCAGGGCAAATTGAGCCTAGATGAGATTATCTAACACCCTCTCCAGTCATATCTTCAAATCATCCAGTGATGGGGATTCCACCACATTTCTGGGGAGGTTATTCCAGTGATTACTTCATCTCACTGTGGAAAATTTCTTCTCTATACCAAGATGAAACCCCTTCCAGAGCACCTTGCAACTCTTGCCCCTTGTCATCTCAAGGTGGCTCCCTGTGAAGGGAGAACCTCCCTCCTCTCTGTAGTTAGGCTTTAAGTACTACTGGTAAACTGTGATGAGGTCCCTCTCAGTCTTCTCCAATGAGAAAATATGTAATTCCTTTACACTTTCATTATAGGGCAGGTTCTCCAGCCCTTTTATAATTTTTGTGACTCTCCTTTGGACCAATTCCCACTCTGCCTGTCTTTTGTGAATTGTGTGGATCAGAACTGGACACAGTTCTCCAGGTGTGATCTGACACAAGCTGAATACAGGGAATATCTCTCATCTCTGCTAGCAATTCCACTGCTGAGTCAGCCCAGGATCCAGTTTGCCTGAAGATCCCTTTCAGCAAGGTTGCTCCTAGCCTATAGTGGGCTCCTTGGTTATTCCAGCCCAGGTGCAGAACTTTGCACTTGTCTTTGTTAAACTTCATTCTGTTTTTGCTACCTCACTCTTCTAGCCTATCTTACAGGTGTTTCTGTAAGATAGCTTTGCCTTCTGATGTGTTCATCTTACTACTCTGTGTGGTGTCACCAGCAGACTTGGTGAGGGTGCTTTCAATCCCATCATCAAGATCAGTTGTGAAAATGAACAGCATGGGGTCTCCTCTCCCTAGGAGCTCCTAATTCAGACAGGCTGCCAGCCTGACTAGAAACCATTGATCACCACCCTCTTGAGTGTGGCCTGTTGGCCAGTTTTCTACTCATCTCACATACCACCTATCCAGTTTGTGTCTTGCCAGTTTGGCCAAGGCTGTGGGAAACTGTTGCATGCTTGCTGAAGTTCAGGTAAAGAACATCCACTGATCTTCTTGGACCAACTGGAAGTGTTACCTTGATGTAGGAAATGATCAGCCTAGTCAGCCATCATTTACTTTTGGTGTAGGCTATTCCCAACTGTCTGCTTTGTTTGGCTTGTACTATCTCCTAGGAAGACTTTTCCATTTCTTTTTCAGGGACTGAAGTAAGATTAATGGGTCTGTAGTTCCCTGGGTCCTCTTTTGGGCCCCTCTTGTAGGTGGGGGGCATTACATCTGCCCTCTTCTGTCAGGGATATCCCTTGACTGCATCACTTTTCAAGTGTTATATATAGGGTTCTTGCAGCAATGTCAGCCACTTCTTGTAACATCCAGAACTGGACTGTGCCCTTCTAAAAGACCAAAACCTAGCCTTCTCCCAGCTACCTTATCCTGTGATCTGGGGTCCAGTTATGCTGATAAGGCAGAGGTAAAGAAGGTACTGAGAACTTCTGCTTTATTGGCATTATTAGTAACTTGCCTCTTTGCCCTGTTTAGGAATGGCCTCTGAATGTATTCCCTGTGCTTCTACTTCTCATATATCTGATGAAGCATTTTATGTCATTCTTGTTATCTTTGGCCAATTTTAGTTCTAGTTGAACCTAAGCCTTTTTTACTTCAGCTCTGCCTGTCCTGGCAAGTTCTTGTAGTCCTTGGTGGCTATTTGATCATCTTCACAGGGCCAGTATGCTTCTTTCTACCATTTAACCACATCCAAAAGCTCATAGGTCAGACTTCTTCCTGAACTAAAAGTTCAGCCTTAAGCTTATTACAACAGGCTGAGCACCACAGTAATATGGATGACTTCCTAACAATTTTTTTTTTAATCAAGGCTGCTCCTTACCCTAACACCTTCATTGTGTTTACTGTCAAAGAACCCATAGCTACACTCAGTAATATCACCCACATATATGAAACAAACCAGCCAAATAAAGAACCCCAGCTGTTACGAACATGTACTTTTGACTTGGAATTTCAAGATACCTGTAGCTCTGTTATGCCCTGCAGAGGTTCTTATCACTTCTGCAGAAACAATAATGCAGGTGTTCAGCCAGTTTTAAGAGATTGAAATTGTAAGAAACTGACATCAAATTCTGTTTTCCTTAAAAATGGCCCTCCCCACTTCTAAGTCAATCTCAAACTAGTCTGGTGCCCAAACATATGAAAAAAATCTTACCCTAAATTTATATTTTGTACTACGTCTCAAATTCTTCACCGTGTAGGTAAGATCGTCACCATCATATTTTGGCTTGAAACCATATCCCTGCAGAATTAAACAGGATTATTTGAAACATTATCTTTGCAGACCAGACGATCTAACATACTTCATAAAAATAAATTACTGCTTCAAACTGTAATTATTATGCTTCTCTGACAAAATAATAAGTGCACCTTCATTGTGTGAACACCATTCTTTTTAAAGACGTGTAAATTCATTAAACATTTTCCAGTCAGGAGAGAAGATAAGTAAGAAAGACATATACAACACCACTGGAAATTTTATCTAACACTTTCAAAGGGTAGAACAGTACTGATTTTTAAACAAATGCTGTTAGTCTGAAATGACATCTAGAGGGACCACACTCCATGATGCAATTGCTTTGATCCAGCTCTTACAAGGCTTAACTTGCACACACAAATTCACAAAGTTATAACCAATTTAAAAGTCTTTGCAGAAATGGGGCTTAATAACACTAAACACAATTAAAAGAAGAAAGCGAGGCGGCCTAGTCACAGCAATGACGAGTCATAAGCTTAATTTCAGAAAATACAATTCCTTGTAGAACATTCTAGCAAAAATAATCATTGCTACACTAATACAATAATGTATCAAACATAGTGAGAATAAGTATTCTAAACTTACTGAGTTCTCATCCTCCATCTCTAATATATATGAGATTCCTTCATCTGATGGTGTTCCTGAGGGTTTTGTCCACTGAAGGGATAACCAAGTAACTCCAGCATTAATCAGCAAAGGACTTGCTGGTGTGGTTGGGGCAGTGCCTGAGGTATGATACAGGACTTCTTCACTAAAATCACTGTTTAAAACAGACAGTATGTAAACTAACTAGACATAATAATTAATAGCTAAAACCAAAATTCTTACTAAACACAGCTATGACAGTTTCTTGGAGATATGCACAATGAAAATTGCAAGCTCTTACATGCAAACAACTTAACTTGCCCATGAGTCTGTCAGTAACAAAATATCTGAACAAGGTTAACATGTTCATAATTGAAAGATTCCTTTGTATGATATAATTACAATGTTTTGCTAACCAAAACGTTTTGCTTTTTCATATTAACTCAGTATTCTAAAACACTAAAGCTCTATATGCAATAATATACTAACACCACACTGTCCTTCCTTTGCAAAGTGAAAACATGAACGCATAAAAACATTTAGGCAAGACTTTAAAACAAACTTTGCTCATGTGTTCTGAGCTTACTCTGAAGTACTGGTTTCTCTAGAGATCCAGAAAATAATAGAATAGTCTCATTCAGTGGTGAGCTACTTGAAGAGTTGATAAAATGAAAGTCTTCTTGCAGAAAAAGAAGTTGACTGTATACCAGTAAATCTCCGAACACAACTGTTATCCTTATCTGATTTAGATTAGATACACCTTGTGGTGGAAATACAAACAAATTACATGTAAAGAGCTACGGTGAAACAGGAGGATGCAAAAGTCAGTGAACAGATAGTATGCTTGCACAGACAGCCTGACATGCATCCAGCTAGACTAAAAAGGCCCACCTGCTCTCAGCTGGCTTTGCTGCTTTACATCAGATCTGAAGAATCACAAGCCTAAAGCTAGTTTAGTTTTTTTAACCATATGAAACTAATTTAAAATATGTAGTTTTAATCTAAAAGTTAAGGATTACCTAAGTGAGCATCAGGAAGCCCTGAAAATAAAACCTTCTCTATAACTTAAAGATAACCAGTAAAATATCTCATGTGCTTTGAAACCCCATTTGCCTGAAAAATCCCAATAAAAAGATAACTCCAATGTCACTTTCTCTCTTACTCAACCTCTATTATAGTGATGGGCATATTATAATTTTGGTCTGCACTGAGGTATTTTTGGCATTTAAAGGAAAAAATCTTATACACAACACATTATCAAGAGCATTCATAGCACAGAAAACAGACATATTGTCTGTGAGGACTGCCAAAGAGATGTGCAGCAAGAAGGGAAAAAGTAAAAAACAAGAAAAAACTTCCAAATTTATGGGAATAGTAATTTATTTTCTTGTAAGGCGTCACAAGCAAGAAAACTTCTGGAATGGAAATCAAATGATACCTACAATATATTTACTAAAAAAAGATCAACATTTTATAGGCAGCCTGAAGAAAGCATGAAGAGAGGTTAGATACAAGTTGTATGTCTAACTCTCCTCAAAACAAACTATCGAAGGAGTCACCTTACAAGTATCTACAAGGTAAAAAACCCACACATCTTGAAAAGACTTCATCTCTAAACGTGCTTGAACCATTCCAAAATACACTGAAATAAACTGACTTCCAGCCATAGCCATATTTGAATGACTATTAAACAATTCCCACAGAAGAACAGTACTATCTTTGAACACAGATTTTATTTTTCCAGTTTTCTTTAACCATTGTTTCATGTAGGTTAGAATTAAATTTAAACATTAGTAACTCAGAGATAAAATATCTGTTCTTCTTGGTAAAATTATTTAGACAAAATTCTGTCTCCAGATGCCTAATGTTCTCAACATTCTTCATAAAGGAAAAACAGGCACTCTACACTAATAAATATGATTTCAAGAGACTTCTTAATTAAATAATACCATAAAGACAATAAAGCACATCTTCACAAGGCTATGAAATACTGATTTAAAAATCTATTCAGTGTGATTAGTTTAAGGAGGGTACTTAACTGATCAGTGTCTTCAAAGCTTACGCTGGAGGAATCGTTAATATGTGCAGCTATTCCAAGAGGGTACAGCTACACTCAGATGTAAAAGGGGAACAGGAAGAGAGCCCAAGAACTGGACCCTGCTTAACTGCCAGCTCCCTTCCTATCTTTATTTTTAACAGCTCAAACTGAATCTCAACAAGACAAAGTCCAGGAGCAACTCAAGAGAATAATTAATTTCAGGAACATCATCCAGAAGGCAGTAATGTAATAAAGACTATTGGAGCACACCAAAAGTCATTCTAGTCCACTACAGTGTCCTCTGACAGTAGCACAAAGCAGGTACTTAAGGAAAGACACAAGAACAGGCACCTTATGCAATGCACTCCCTGAATACTCCCCAACACATGCTTCAGATCTTCTGAGCCAGCTGTATTTTTCACATACTTAATAGTCTGCAGCAGATTCTGCCCAGCATGAATTATGACCCTGGGTCTGGCTCCCTACTCTTTACACTGAGTTCTTTACACTGGCCAAGCAGGCACTGTTGCTTCAAGCACCTCCTTCTGCCAGATAAAGGACATAAAACACATATCCTCTATTTCATGCTGTAAAAACACCACTTTAGTGAGCTGCAGCACAATGTTCATAATATCTGAATTGAAAAAACAAACACAAAAAGCAATTTTATGTTGATGGTGAGGGAAGCTCCATTTTTATGCCCCACAGTACCTCAAGGTCCAAGTACTACTAGGCAGTGTGGACACCAGGAGTCTGCTGTAGAGGAGATGAGCTCTGGCAGTACGATTGTTAGCCAGGTGCATTTGCTTTGCCTGATGACCAAGAAGCCCACTCAAGAACTAATGCACCCAGTAATGCAAGCATAACTTCACAAAACATTTTTTTTCCATGTTCTTACATATATTCTCCACTGAAGTCACAAGTCATTAATTCAAAAATACAAACCAAAGTTTGGTGCTCTATAACACCTGAAAAGTAGTAATTAAAAGCATGAACCACAAATGCTAAGCATTGATAATAGGGCTAGAACTTCCAGAGAATTCCTTGATATGGTAATGTCATATTCTGTCTATTTCTCAGAGTAACAGGAGACTAAGACACAGATGAAGGGACAATACCCCAGTAGCACAAAGGCTATCTGCAAAAAGAAAAATCCAATCACATACTGTGAGTTAACTCAGCAGTTGGACTAGATGATCACTCTACGTCCCTTCCAACAGAAATACTATATATTTTATATTCCTTTTCAGACCATTTGGACAAAAACCTTTTTCTTTAAATGCTACCACACGTTTTTCCTAAAGTAGCACATACATGGATGCATATGCTTTCCATATTTAGGTATGTAACAGCATTTACCTCATTCCCATGTCATTTTTGGCTGCTAGCCTAAAGGTGTACCCCATTGCTGGTGATAGTTTAGTGATCCTGTACTGCTTCTGCTGACCGTAATAACACTGGCAAAACTCTCCATTTCCTTTTCCCTAAAAAGTAAGAAGTTAATCATATTATTGACCTTATTACATAGCCATACATCAGTTAAAGTACACACAAACATGAAGTAAAATCCTTTCTTGAAATTAAATATAACTCAGAAATCTCCATATGGTGAGGCAGTAGCATATGAAACTTTGTATTAAATTAGCAGCTTTTTTCCTTCCTTTCCATTTCCTAGCTCCTTGGGGCTGAAAGAATAAAAACCATGAAGATACTGCACCTCCGCCATCTTAGGATAGCTGTCCAGGTAGAGACTGCAAGATCATTGCAGGGCCATAATTGATCCACCCACTTATCAAAAAAGAAAGACTGTTACAGGAAAATGATCCTTCCATGTCAGCTCTTTAACACGGACTATGAGTGAAAAAGCCACTATTAAGAGTAGCAGAATCACGCAATTAAGATACTTTTATTTTATATCCCCTGAGAAAAAACCCTGAGCACTAACTGTATTTTCATAATTGCTTCAGGAATTACATTATTGTCACATGCCTCTAATCAAAAATCTTAATTTTGACATCAGTTAACGTGCACAATCACATACAGCTACTTTAAAAAATAGAAGACTAAAAATACAATAGAATAACTTGCTTACTTCATCCCATTCTAAAAGGTAACTGTGGATTTTGGAACCATTATCACAAGATGCCTGTAACAGGAAAACAGGAAAATTAGAATTCTAACTGGACACAAGACCCCTTAAAAAATGCATGTATGGGCCAAATCACAAGAAGAACAGTGGAAGATAAATGCTCCCCTTATATAATGGTTTCACTTACCAAGACAGTCCTAGTTTAGTTGCCATACAATGAGTGCTTGTCCCATGTTTATGGGTTTTTTTTCTAATTTAGTTATTGAAATGCACTGGGTACTGAACTCAGTAATTTTACCTTGAGACTCCTTGCTTTTCTGTGAATCCTTCTCTTTTTACTCAAGTCCACATTTAACCCAGTATATCTATTTCCAGTCAGGGAACTGTGACTCATATGAGTAGGTTTGACAAAAATTTTCAGTTTCAATGAACTGGTATTTTATTGATAAATCCACAACAATTCTGAAGAATTAAAAATATTTATTTTAAAGGCTGTAAAGCAATCCTTACCTTCCACTGAAGAGTAAGAGAATTTTTGGTCCGATTAGTTATCCTGGGCAGATTTGGAGTATCAGGTTCACAACTTGCTGTGGTAAAACTCTCTGTTTCTGAAGGGCTCCCCTTTACACAGTTGCATTCTACTTGGACTCTAAAGTGGAAGAGAGTCAATAACATTTTGCTTCAAAATCTGTATAGTTTCCAAAGAAAACAAAGCATTTGGAATTAAGTTGCTGCCTTGCTGCTTCATTATTAAAATATCACTGTTATAAATAAATAACTGGGGGAAACATCTTGGACAATAGAAGCAATAAGAAAGAAAAGAGTCCTTTACTTTGGATGTACATCATTACATTTGGTCTGCTTTAGTCTCACAATTATTATTTGAAATATGTCTGTTATTAGCTGTGCTTTGGTTGGAAAATAATGGTAGCATTCTGCAGGCTCATTATCTGTTGTAGAGATATAAACTTATATTATGAATAATTCTTCTGCAAGTGCTTTCGTCAGATGAGCACAACAAAGCTGTTGATGTAGTATCCTCTGCACTCAAATGGGTGTCCTGCTGAGAGTGTTCACCTTGTCCTTTCCTTTAGTAAGGCAATGAATTAGCCCTCCACAAACGAATGAATTTTGCTTGTCTCAAAGAGAAATGGCTTGTTTTTCAAAAGGCTTGTCTCCAAAAGGAAATACATGATAATCATCTGGTCTCCCCCTGCCCCCTAAGCTGTGCAGCTATGCCTTGCCTCTTCTTTGGGTCAGTGGCATATTACTTGCTTCTTATTCGTCCGTTCCTTTGAAAAAAACTCAAAACCAAAACTCGCCAAAAAACCCTTTCCTCTGATTACCAATATAAGATCTGAGTTGACAGCTTAAGAAAATACAAAAATTCTGATACATTTTTGATGCATGAACAGCAAATCACAGGAAATTTGGCTTTATAGATTTCACAAACAGAGAGAAGACAGTCAAACAGTGACTAAAGTTAAACACAAAGTTGTTTGTGCTTGCATACAATTGCAAATATGTAATACATCAGTTATCTTGGTGGTTGAGTTGTTCCACTCTTTGCTGATTTTCTGCAGTGTTCACACTGGCAGAATTCTGTTTACGAAGAGCTTGGATAGCCAAACCACTGATTCCCATGTACTGCCTACAACAACCAGAATTAAGCAAGAAAAAATATGAATGTAGTCTGATAGAAGAGCACTTAGACAGAAAAAAGAAAATTCTAGTCACTGACCCTTATGCTCCATGAATTTTCAACTTCAACCTTGTTGGATAAAATATATCTAAAAATACTACAAACAGGAACAAAATCACAGGTAAACACTTTCATAGGCAAGAGCTTAGAGCCAGCTTACCATTCATCTTTCTCCTGACCTTATGCTCCAGGCAATACAGGGGCTCAAATTAAATGAGGGCTGTGATAAGAACAGACCAACCCTCTTTTGCTTTAAGTTTGACAACCAAGACAATACTCTGGAAAACTGCTCTGGGAGGTATAGACCCCTTCACACCAAAGGCTGGGAACCTAGCTCTCTCACTTGAGCAAATGTCAAAAAGGCTATTGTACAAGGCAAATCCTACTCTAAATGTGATGTGGAAGGAGGCAAAACATTGTTAACCGGGACCCATTCTCTGACACACTTCTGTTCCTTGTGCTTCCTACCAGCTGCCTCTAAATTGGTTCCCTTGGTCAGTACACAGAGATCTTGGGGTTCTCCACACAGTCAAGAGAGGCAGGACATTCAGTCACACCTATGAAGGTACTCTACACTTGCCACTATCTCCTGAAAAGGTACTTCTTTTAAGAAGGCCTTCATTTCTGCCTTCACAATGTTATTTATTTGTAAACTGCTGTATTCACACTATTTTTTTAAAAAACAAGAATCACAGAGTAGTTTGGGTTGGAAGAGACCTTTAAAGGTCAACTTGTCCAAACTCCCCTGCAATAAACAGAGATATCTTTAACTAGATCAGGCTGCTTAGAACCCTGCCCAGCCTCTCCGTGAATGGTTTTCAGGGATGGGGCATCCACCATCTCTTTGGGCAAACTGTTCTGGTGTTTTACCACTCCCAGTGCAAAAATTTTTTTTCCATATATCTAGTCTAAATCTACCCTCTTTTAGTTCTAAACCATTCTGTCTCGTGCTATCACAACAGGCACTACTAGAAAGTCTGTCTCCATCTTTCTTACAAGCCTCCTTTAAGTACTGAGTTTTCTCCAGGCTGAACAAGTTTTGTGGCCCTCTTTCAGAGCTACTCTAACAGGTGACCATCCTTCTCATCATGGGGATCCCAGAGCTGAATGCAGCACTCTGGGTGAGGTCTTGCGAGAGTGGAGCAGAAGGGCAGAATCACCTCCCCCTCACCCTGCTGGCCACGCTGTTTTTGATGCTGCCCAGGACACAATTGGCTTTTTGGGCTGCAAGTGCACATTGTCAGGTCATGCCCAGCTCTCCAGCCAGCAGGGCCACCACATCCTCCTTGGCAGGGCTGCTCCCAATTCCTTCATCCTGCAGCCTGTGTTGATACCAGGGCTGCCCAGACCCAAGGGCAGCACCTTGCACTTGGCCTTCTTGAATCTCATGAGGTTCCCATGGCCTCACTGCTGAAGCTTGTCCAGGTCTCTCTGGCATCCCTTCCTCCAGGAGTGTCAACTGCACCACTTGGTGCTGACACTGCAACTGCTTGGTGTAGGCTGCTGGAAGCTCACTCAATCCCACTTTCTGTGTCACTGATGAAGATATTTGACAGTACCAGTCCAAGACTGGCCCCTGTGGCCACTTGTCACTAATCTCTATCTGGACACTGGACCATTGACCGCTATTCTGTGAATGGGACTGACCAAACAATTTATCATCCACCAAGGATACTGTGGGGGACTGTCTCAAAGGTCTTACAGATGTCCAGACAGCTAACATCTGCAGTCCCCTTGTCCATTGACACAAGTCACTTGTTCATAGGCCACTTGGTTCTTCAGGCAGAACTTGTCCTTGGTGAAGCTGTGCTGGCTGTCCTGAATCACCTCCTTGTTCTTCATGTGCCTCAGCATGGCTTTTAGAAGGATCCGTTCCATGATCTTCCCAGGTACAGAAGTGAGGCTGGTAGCTCCCATAGTCTTCCTTCCTAACCTTTAAAAATCTGGTGAAGTGTTTTCTTTTTCCCACTCACACAGGACTTCACCTGGTTGCCATGACTTTTCAAATATGACGGAGAGTGGTTTGGCAACTATATTAGTTAATTCCCTCAGGACTCTGGGATGAATCTCTTCAGATGCAGACTTATGTCCAGGTTACTCAGGTGGTCTCAAACCTGATCTTCTGTCACTGTGGGAGGGACTTTCCTCCCTCAGTCCCCATGCTGCTGCCATTCACTGGAGAGGTGTGAGAAGAGAAGCTGCCACTGAAGACTAAGGCAAAAAGGCTTTCGAGTACCTCAGCCTCTTCCTCATCCATAGCTATCAGTTTCCAGTTGTGTTTGTTTGGGAGGATACTCTTTCAATGACCTTTGTTTCTGGCTGACAAAGCTATAAAAGCCCTTAGTCTTTGCATCCCTTGCCAAGTTCAGCTTCAGATGACCCTCTAATATTTAATAAAAAAAAGAGGGAAGAATGACACCTAACCACATCTTCCCAATCCTATGCTATTTCTTCTGACCTACTGAAGTAGTCAATTCTGCTAGAAGGGCAGAATTACACTGAGCTGGGGGCACATTTTGTCATGCATATGGGGTCACTGATCAACTGGAGCCAAGCAAAAGTAGCATAATATGACTTTCAGGTGGCCAAGCAGGGAGCATCTTCCAGGGTAAGGTACTTTCCTCTGCTGCTTGTGGAAAACTGAAAAGCAGCATCTGTGCCTGGCTCCAAGGACAGAAAAAGGTGACTGTGCTAACATAAATGAAAGGACCTGAATGTAGGATGAGCATGCACCAATCTTGTCTTACATTGTCCAAAATGGACTGAGTGGTCAGCTAAGTCAAAAATGTTGATTGTGACTCAAAAGAGGGTGAGAAGTGGTTAAGACCATCTCTTAAGACTTAGGCAAATACACAATGAAAACTTTTAAAAACATTTCCACTGAATTTAATGAAGAGAAAGTGAGATACTCACTTTGCATGGTAATCTGTTGCTGGCCTGAGATCATTTACAGTAACTTTATTTTCTTCTCCACTGGAAAGAGATACAAATTCGTTTTAAAGACTGTTTCAGAATTCCACACATTTATAAAAAAAAGACATGTATCATCTAATTCAACACACCTTCTATGAAATGTATTTCCTAAGAGTTTGTCTTTTGCTAAATATAGCAATGTCTAAATGTATTTCTCTCTGAATTTTAGAGGTTTCTTGTGTTATTCCTGTTCTTTTGCCCTGGTGGTTTCGGGGCACTTTTTTGTTTGCTGCTTTCTAAAGAGTAGCAATTATTTTCTTCTTTACTTAGTAAGACAGGCTGCATGTGCATGCATGTATGTTATTACTCAAAAAAACCACTGAAGTACTGGAGCCTACAGCAGCTCAGTCCAGCCTTGCAAAAACCATTATCTAAAACTGTACCTGACTGCACACACCTACTTGTTAGAGCCTAGGAAACAGAAAAGGCACAAAAATAACATCTGTTAGTCTGCTTTTGCTGACATCAGCTTATCTTAGCAAAAGTCATTTCTCTGCTGCTAGTTCCTCGGATAGGGATACTCTACTTTCAATTACATGAAATCCACGGAATGTGACTAAGATAAACTAGCTAGATACAAAGGTTTAGAACTGTTACAGAACTCTATAGGCTTAATTATATATTTTACTGTCATATTTCTCCAAACTGCAAAAAACAAACTGAAAACCATTGCGTTAGGAATTAAACAATTGAAGACTTTGCTTTGCTGCTGCTATGAGTTGTGTTCTGTGTGAATTTGCTGCTTTTTTGATTGTCTCCTACCAAGACCCATTTTAGTGAAGGAAGGGATAACCTTACTGGGAAGAGAAGCATGTGCTGACATAAAAAGTAATAAACACAATTTATTTTTCTCACTACTTGTATGTCTTACTATGTAAAAACTTATGATGTCTAGTGTAGTTGGTTGAAATACAGCAAAAGTGGTATTAAAATATCCCTCCAACATGTATGAACAAAATCTTTACATTCCAGTTGATGGCAGAGACTTCAGTAATAAAATGAAACAAATTCTACTGAAAAAAAGGGTAGCTAATTTCAAAACAGAAGTTACACAAACTCCTAATTATTTAACTTTCTGGACAACAAGCAGATTTTTAATGCGGCTTTAAGCCACATATTTCGATGCAGCAGTGACTAAATAAAAATAGCCAACACCTACATGTACACAGTTTTGTACTTTCCATCTTTTCCAGTACTTGAAATCATCACTTCATAAGTATAAACCTCTGGCATGTCATTCTTGTCTGTGTCTTCTCCAGTATCACTGGATGGAGGGGACCACATCAGCAGTGCAGTTCTTGCCTGAATATCTGATACCTGTAGAAACACAAAGTTTTGACATCTCTGTCATGTCTATTGTATCTAAATGTTACTTTGCAACAAATGATCAAAGAAGAGAAAGAAAAATCACATACTATTAGCAAACCAGAGTATTTATACAGATACTCTAGCTATTAACTAGATTTTACAGCTGAAATCAGGTTGGAAATGCAAGGAATGCCATGAGAAAAGTGCAATGCCAGGCAGGGGCTGAGGGCAGAGACGCCTGTCGGTGCATAACGCCACCCAGTGGGCTGCTGAAACACGGACCAGAGCGCTGGCCAGGCACAGGGATGGCAAAGCACATCCTGGGACAGCGGCCACTTCATTAAACCATGCTGCTGGCACCTCTTCCTTGGAAGCCACTGGTACTATGACTTTTTTAACACCTTCTTGTTTCTATGAAATATAGGGAGATGAAGGCATGTTCACAAGGTCCACGTACATACACATAGAGACAATATCCTGAAGAATTTCTGGGGTGGTGTTTGCCTCAACACGCCATCCATTGCAAAAAGGCCTGGATAAGAACAGCTGGTGTGACAGAAACAGGAGTTTAACCAGTGTGTATGACCTCCAACTATCCAACAAGTGATCCCAGCAGACGAATCATGCTAAAAGGGCAGTGACCCTCAGGTGGGTTAAATGGAAATGGGAGAATCACAAGACACTCCTGAAACACAGAAGTCATCAGCTTTAGAAGTATAGAGGTAGCATGAAAATTGGTAATGGGGGAGGTGAGTAAGAGATGCTGCAGTGGAACAGAGCAATGATCAAAATCCGGCCTGACAGTGCGACAAACTGGCCTGCCAGCCAGGCCTGATGGACGCTGTGCACCCCAGCTGGTGCAACAGCACTTCGGGGCACAGCAGGCATGGATTTGCAGCTCAGGTGAGTGCATGTAACCTGGTGGAGAGCCCTCTCAATGGCCTGTGGATTAGCAGCTTGTAGGGAACAACAGATTCAAAGGAACAATGCAGTCACACACAAAGCTTTTGAAGCAGCCACGCCTTCCAAAGGAGCTTCGTGACTAGGAGCACCCACACTGCCAAAAGAATGGGTGCTGTCTGGAACCTGTAAGTGCTGCAAGAGGCTGAGGATGCTTGTGTGCTTGTAGGTGAGTGCACAGGTGCATGCAGGTTTAGGATCTGTTATAGAAGAATGCCTAGAAATTTGTGGATGTTCATAAGTATTGCTATTCTTATATATACATCTGCTATTGTGGTTTATATGTTGCACCCACCTACTGTTTCCAATGATTTATAAGAGAAGTCAAAACACATTTCATTACATGAAATTACTAGTTTTACAATATAATCATAGTGTATGTCTATTTTGGGAATAATTGCTTTTGAAAATCTATTACCAGAGTATTAGAATCAAAAAGCTATCTTCACAACTGGTACCTCAAACTGCTATAATCTACTAAAGCTAAAAAACTGAATAGGTCAGCTTCAAGAATGAAGCAGAGAGGACATGACTTATTGATAGCAAACAGAAAGGAAGAAAAATCATACCATGTGAGCCTCAATGTCTTGGAAACAATGTCACTAAACCGTTATGCACTAGCAGGACTGTACATGATATCCTAAAAGGGATCAAATGCTGGCATGACTAAACACTGAAGTTTCTCTTTAAAATCTGGTAAGAAAAATTCCACTACTATCTTGATGCAATCACCAACTAGACTAACACTATCTATAACCACTGCAGTAAAATTCTAGCATTTCTGGAAGTTTTTGGAGTTGTGGGAAGCATCTGATCAAGTTCCCTCCTGGACAATCTTTACCCCACCCTCTTGAGTTGCAGCAAGTGGCAGGAGATTCTGAGGGAATGAAATACAGGTTCCCCAAGGACCTACTGTACTTCAGGATTATGAGATCTATTTTAAGATGATCTGTTCTTAGATTTAGCTACTTTGACCACTGAATTTTTTTCCCTAGTATCCAGGCAGTGTCTCTGTTATTACCAGCTAAGCCTACTAGTCCTAGCCACCATGGAATTGAACAATAAATGTCCTCTCTTCCTTTTGCAGTTGTTTTTCATGCATTTGAAGACTGTTAGCATTTGAGTTTTCCCTCACCTATAAAATCTGATAATTCTCACAGTTCTCCTTATCTCCTAGTGATTCATTTTCTTTAGTGCTTTGCCCAGAACACCCCATGTAACACTTTGCTAATGCCAAACTGCCACCTGACAGATTACATTTCCATCATACATAGGATATTTTCTATCTCCCTGAGACATAAGGAAAAATAAGTATTTTTGAAGAGCCAAGATTTAAGATCAGAAGAATCCACTACTATTATGTGCTCTGAGACACTTGGGAGTGGCTTTTTCAAAACACTTGGCATTACTTATTGCTTTGTATGCTTATGCAAACAGCTGCAATAGATTCTGGTTGCAACTCTGAACACTATGTGCTTCTGCAAAGCAGAGTATAGTACTTGGGTCAGGATCTAGCACTGTGGAAACAAGAGAAGAGCACATCTTCATTATCAATCCAGCTTGCCAAAGTCCTCATTAAATATGTTACACATGCCATTTGGGTCAAACAAAAGAGCACTTTTAGCATGTGCAATCTGGATTGCATTCACAGTAATGCAAGACACTTAACTGTGAGTGAGGTGCATCACATGCCAGAAGTCTGCAAACATACACAGAACCAGAAAAGTATGATGTTCTCCAAAGGGATTTACATGCTATATAACCAACCCTCAAATTCTCAGCTTTTATTGTCTCATTAAATATTCAGCCTTCTGCCTCATTCTTCATTTGACTTTTGCCTTTTCAGGTCTTCTTTTCTGCTTTGTTATTTGGGCAAGAGACATGACAGCTGGTGAAGGCTTCGCTCCAACACCGAGGTGCAATCTGCAGAATCATTTCAATTTATGTCTGAGTATAAATAGTTCAAGACCCCTAAGTAGAAGGGTCATCTGATGTCAGTACCATGTAATCAATTTGACTTAACACTGCCATGTATGAAAGGATGAGGGATCCCTATGTGGAAAAGTTCAAGGAAGTCAAAATCTAACAGGAGTCTGGAGGTAGCAAAATTGATGCATCCCATACTGTGTAGAACTGAAAGGTATTTGTGAATGGAAGTTCATGACAGAGACCACCACCTGATTTAGTTGCGCATGCCCTGGACCTGGGCACTGAGACATGGGACAGCTCAGGACAGGTCATAGCCTTCAGCACTGCTCCTGGCTTTCTGGGGTAGGATATGGTGCAATGGACACTGTACTGGACAGCACCCTGTATGATCATCTGATTGTATGGCCACCACCACAGTCAGTACCAGCATGGTTCACCCAGGGAACAGAGTACTGATGATCCATCAAAAATCACAGTCCTTATAGTAAGTGCTTCAATCAAAACATTAATAAAAAACCTGCAGGAATATTTCTGATGAGAACCACAAAGAGAAGGTGTGAAAAAAACAATGTCCTGGTTCATTTGAGGGAAAGTGAGGAAAACATTTCCTTGATGAAACTGCAGGAGGGTGGCTTGAGATCCTGCAACACCCAAGTACGTAACACAGACTCCTATCACATTACACCACACTCCCCCAAGCTGCAGCATCAGCTAGACTTCCATCCCCTCACAGCCCTGGCAGACCCTTGCCTTCACAAAGCATAAACCTCTCCAAGTGCAAGAAGTCTGGCTTTCTGCCTTGTGTACACTCTGAATCTGTAGCAGAGTACCACTGCCTGGGATGCCTTCTGAGGCCTGCAGAGATCACCAGTGGCACACAGCTATGTGCAATGATGTTCAAGCAAGAACACGGTGGGGAGAAGAACTAGGGTGCTTGTCTAAAAGGCACGGGTGGCTGAGGATTGAGGCAGAAGGATGTGAAAGAAAACACGATAGTACTGGCACTGTTTTGTTTTTTCCTCTGTCATCAGCAACACAGCACAAGACCACACCTGTTCTCAGTCTCATTTGGAGAGAGTTCAGAGCTCTCCTTGGCAATGTAACCATTGCCAACACCCCAATTTCAGACAGCTCCCATCTCCATGCTGCCTAGCCATGACAAAGGGGCACTGAAGACATGTCAATCCATCCTGATACTTGGACACAGCAGGACACCAAGTGTCCTCTATACAATCTCTGCTCAGTGCTTGGACAACCACAGACTCACAGAATGGCTGAAGTTGGAAGGGACCCCTGGAGGTCATGTGGTCCAACTCCCTTTTTTAAGCAGGGCCACATAAAGCCAGCTGCCCAGAACTATGTCCAGACAGATTTTCAGTATCTCCAAAGAGGTAGGCTCCACAAACTCTCTGGCCAAGTTGTGCCAGAGCTGACATCCTCACAGTACGAAAATGTTTCCTGATGTTCAGAGGGAACCTTCTGTGTTTCAGTTTAGGCCCACTGCCTCTGGTTCTGATGCTGGGCATACTGAAAAGAGCCTGGCTCCATCCTCTGTGCACTTGCCTTGCAGATATCTATATACATTGATAAGATCCCCTCTGAGCCTTCACTTCTCCAGGCTAAACAGCCCCAGCTCTCTTGGCCTCTCCTCATCAGGCTGTAAAGAAACATACGAAAGAAGAATCAAGGGTAGGGCACTAAACTGGGGCGAGGCTGCCTGGAAAGTGAAGGGAAAAAAGTAGGTAGTAGATGATTGGAGGAAGCAGCTGACTGACTGGACAAACCCATGGCAAGCTCCTCCTGGAGTTTCAGTTGTATGGACTACGCTACCATGGGGAACACAGACTGTTTTTACTCACGCAAGACGGTGGACTCATGACTGTGGTGAAGATTTTTGGAAAAGATGTGCAAATCTTCACAGCAAGGTTGGGACCAGGGAAGGTCCAGACAATGAAAGAAAAAATCACTGGCCTGCTCCTTAATTCAAGAAACTACTGAATTTGGCAACAGTACTTTAAAGAGTATCTACACAAAAATATGCATCAGTTTTACAAACTGAAAGTATGTTGGTAAATTTTCAAGTAGGTAGGTCAGAAGATCACTGCTGACAGTCATGTTCTGTGGTGAATTTTATGTCTCTCCTCCCTGAAGCTGCCAAAAACTCTTAAAAGAGAAATAGGTCATATTTTTTCTCTACTTTGCAAATAAGGTTTTACAAAACCTCATTTTTGGTGATGTTTCCAAAACCTTGCCAGGCATCACTCATGCCTAGAGATATGTGGTGTGTAAAATTGCTTCCTGAACAGTTAAGGCTAAACAAAGTTGCAGGAAATTGAGAACAGATTCTGCAGTATAATATTATGTTAAGCATCATATTCCATTAAGCAGCATCATTATGCTACTGGCAATGCTACAATCTCTATGTTTTTTAAATAATTCTGTTAATACTGAGATTCACAGAATAGCCAGGAAGAATTCTGCAGTGTAAGTATCAAGAAAATTTTAGTTTCATAAATGTGAATACACTAAAAATTGCTTTGGTTGTTTAAAGTACAGTGGACTGGAAGTTAAGAGAATTTGCTTTAGTATGGAAAATTAAAGACGCTTTAAACTTAAGAGAGAGAAACGGAGATGCGACTGTGTAAAATAGCAACAGATAAAATCTGATTTTATGGAAAGCTTTTGTTACTTACCACTGGCTTGGCTATGTTAGAAAGAAGTGCTTCCAGTGCTTTTGTTTCTTCATCCTTTTCTTAAAAAACAAAATCAAAGCAAAAGAGAAGTATCCATGAATATTGTGCAGTAACTTTACAGTGAAATAGCTCTTCAAATGCAACAACTGCACACAGAAGAAAGCATTTATAAAGGAGAACATCTTGCTAACTTTCATTCATCTAGGACAACATGAAACCAAAAACGCTTCTAAAGAAGTTGTTAATATAATACTATTTCTAAAGCCCTTCTGTGCATTATGGAATACAGAAAGCCTGGCTATCATTTATTAATGTATAACTTTAAACCAAATGCTCTTCTGGAAAACTTAAGATCTTGGATATTTCCCACAGATTTCTCTTTGGATGTAGATGCAGTCAGGTTACAGTAGTTCAAATATGTTATTGCTCATCAGCTGGAAGCCTACTGGTAACACTGCTGGCCTTCCTCAATTGCAAGGGAAACAATTTAAGGTGTTTTGTGCCAGCTGAAGGTATAGCTGAGCTTTATAAGGGATTTATAGTTTACAGAAAGCATTTTATCTGCTTTTCTCACATAATATTGAAATTTTATTATCTCAATAGTGTAAGTAACAGGCTACTCAGTTTTGAAGGTATGGCCAGGCATTTTTAATTCATTTAACCTGCCTTAAACTAAACATAAAAGAAAAGCAAAGCCTGACAAAATTCTTTAAAAAACATAGATCAAATCTATTTACAACTCTGTTTCTAAGATGGTTTATGCTGTTGAAACAAATAAAATGCTTTTCTGACTTGTATGGCAACTCTAAGTCTCCGCCTTTTCTTTGACAAGTCTAAGTCTCAGTACATAATTTTCCCCAATGTCTCCTAAAATAATTTTGAGAAGTGGACATTCCCATTTTTCATGTAAAATACTTCTAAGGAAACACCAACATAATTTTTGTACTGTGTAAACAACAGTACATTTCATCACTTGTTCCTTGTAAAAGTTAGCTCACAGATAAACACCAACAAACAGAAAGTAAACTGAAGCTCAACAGAAAGTAAACTGCCACTCTGGAACTATAGCAACAAATATTCAGGTTTGGAGCAAGTTCCCAACTTCTGATTTTAGGCTGTATCTCAAATGTGACCTTTGGTACTAAGTTTGCCCAAGATATCATCTGCACATGTTTTTAAACAGCTCTACTAGGTTGAGATTTCTTGTTTTTGATTAGATGTACTTTCTGCACAATTCTTTTGGTTTACAGCAATCTAACATACATCGGCACAAAATTATTATCTCAAAGCAAACTTCAGAGAATTGAGAAAAATCATGGCTTATTTCCCTTAGCATCACCAATTACAGTTCCTTATTCTGAGAACAATGCTCCTGGCTGATGACAAGTCTTTGACGTCATGTTCACAATCTGAAGGACTATGGCAGAGACCTCAAAGTCGCATAGTGACACATCATCAGATTTGACAATGTCTGTATGACTGAGTGAATTCAGTCCATCTATGAGATCACAAGCTTTCCAGTGAAATAAAGATAATAATAAGCACACTCTCTATGGTAGTGTCTTAGAAAACATGAACTCACAGGGACTGATGTGAGGACCAGCCTTTTTCTACAAGGGCCTTCAACAGCGAGTGGGTAGGGACAGATCAATTTTATGTAACAGCAGTATCTCCTTTCCAAAATATTCTTTATCAACTTGGATTAATATTTTCTGATTCAGACACTCTATTCTTTCCATATTTTCTACAGTATCAAGCAGGCCATCAATATTCAGTGATTCCTTAAAATGCAAGCACTCCAAACAAAGCAGAGATTTTTCTTTAAACAGTGTCATGAAGTGTGACTCGTAATATTTCCTCAAATTTACATGGAGACTTCCATACCAGTAGTTTTTTTTTCTTAGGCTCACATTCCCATGTGATGAGCAGGTTGACCACCCTTAACTCCACTCTATGTAGGGCACTTAGAGGCTGCTACTCAACGTCAGGACTGTCAAAGTGTGGTGTTCTATTTACAAATGTTCTGTTCAGCCACTGTAACAATAATATATGATTATCTGTCCAGTCCAGACACTGGACTTGCATCATATATTAATATGTGTGTGCATGCAGTATTTTTTGATAACACCTACCTTCTACTTCTGTGTCTGTCTGAGAATTGCTTTTTCCTTTACCCAAAGACTTGCATTTGGTAGAACCTGTGCTTATTCCAGCTGCATCCTGTCCTTTTGTAAGTCCATTAGGTTCACTTGTAGGAGAAGGACATTTCTGAGGAGATGACGGAGGACTGTTTAACTTATCCTTCTGAGTTCCATGTCGATCTTTTAACTTTTTTTGTAACCTTTCATATGTTTTACTAGACCTTTCATCTCTAAAGTTGGATCTTCCATGAGCAGGCAGAGTATCTAAATGAAGGAAGAAAAAACAAACAATTAAGAACCAAATCTAATTTTAAAATCTACCTAAAAATGCTATGTAAGTTAAATGTGCACCAGTGTGTAAAATTATATCTCTACTCCTATTTGAAAACTGAGGTGTCCTGCAGGTAAACTGATACCACTAAATGACATTAACAATATGTTAGGGAAGAGAGTGTCATCTTTCCTTCCCTCATATTTTCTCCACTTAAAAATTATTCTTGAAACATTTCTATAATCTTCCTTGAGCTGTGAGGTACAGGATGAAGTCTATACAGAAAAAATGTGCTACTTTACTACTTGGGAGGAGGTTTGATGTAATGTTGAATAAAAATATCCATTAAGTTCTGGAATGCAGCTAGAGCTCTAATATTTTAATGACACTTCAGCAGGAATCAACAGGGAAAACACCCATAAAAGCAGAGAAACATAGAACCTGTGTTCTATGGGGCTGTGGAAAGACACTAAAACACTGAAGACAGCTTGGCCAGGCCTTGTAAGTGCACTGTACCTGTACCCAGTAACCCCAGGCATTGCTGCAGTAGCACCAAAGTCTCATCTGTAAGTCAGAATTGGTTTTGGAAAAAAGTCAGTACCAGGCTACTGACAGCATTAAACTGTGAAGTGGTGAACTCCTCTGTCCAGTTCTAACATTTGTATTAATTTCACTTTATGCTTAGAAACACTTTACTGAATCAAATCTTTATATATCAAGTGTTTCCTCAGTGTAGCCTTGTCTATGATAAATACTGAAAGCTTTAAAAAAAAATACATCCTTCAAAATCACCATAGAATTTGCTCATTTTCAGGTAAGTTCGATAAGTCAGTCTAAAGAATATTATTTGCTATTACTTAAGAGATAAGAAGTACTGAAAATAACATCAAATAAGAACTTCCTTGCAAGGATAAAAAAAATTATAGAACTTCTCCATTTCTGTTGTTTTTTAAGTCAGCTTAAATCACAGAAAGTTTGACAGAGGACTTCAAGATAAGCTGTGTCTATTTAGATATGTGATTTTTCACTACCTTTAGAGAGTTCACTGCTCATGTCAGGGAACTACTGTGCTCTCTGAGGAGCTGGTTGTTTTCTGTAGGTTTTTTTTGTTTGGTTTTTTCCTTAAATTTAGATTCCTGAAATAGGAGCCTAAGTGTGGGTTTTGACTTTTGAAAGCAACAGCCAAAGTAAGAGATACAAAATTAAATATTAAATCTGTAGCAAATAAATAACACATCATAGTATTAATACTTAACTTTCCTAAAGCCAAAGGCATTTTACATATACACTGAAAATAAAGCAAAGAATCCCACTTTATAATTTTTTTACATTAGCAGTTTAGCAAATTATCACTGAATTCATATTTCAAGTGATATAACATGACAGAAGAAATCTAAAAGAATATTATTCTATTAAGAAGCATCATTTTATGTGTTTAATTATCATACCCATTTCTTAATTTAGCAAACTAAAAGCAAACAACTGCCATCTACAGGAAATCAGGAAATTAATAAAACTACATATAAGCACCTAAAGAGCATCTAGTAATCTACCATTATCGAAGTAGTAAAAGAAGAAACTAAGTACAACATAAGAATACAGAAACACTAGAATTCCAGGAAGATAAAGACATTGGTATATTCTTATCTGATCAATTTGCTCATCCTAGCTATTTAAGCTCAGCAAATTGATGAAGGCCATTTTTAGGTTATTTTAGTAGTATCAAAGAATGTTGAAAAGCTGTGTTTAACCTCCCTCCTCATAGCTTCTAGCTTTCTCTAAAAACAGAAACCTAGAACTGCTCTCAAAGTCTGTCAAGGTTGGCACCTGCCTTATCTAAAGAAAAGCAAGTCTACCAGAAATGTAAACATTAATCTAACAAACCAGCCCCTGAGTTAGAACACAAATACACTTTGCCTCCAAACCACAATAAAGGCAGATGTCGACAGCACTATCAAAGATGGCTTTAACCACTTCATTAAATTTAGGTTAGTGGCACCTCATTACTCCAACTCAACTTCAAAGGGACATTCAATTAAATGTGTATAGTTTTATGGAAAATGGACCACTTTTTTCCTTAATACTAAGAATTCCTATTTCATGCTTCAAACAGGATGTTTGCAAGACACGAGATCTCAGAACAGTGCTCAGGCACAGATTTAAATGCTGAATCACTACAAACACTTTCTGCATCGCTTTCCTGGGAAAATCTGCAACTTGTACATGTAAGAAATAATCTCTAACTTTAGTGTTTCACTGAACAGACAAACAAATAAATTAAAAAGAACCTCTGGAATAATAAGCTTCAGCCAAATCAAGGATGGTATCCACATAACATTTTTTTGCGTATGACTCCCACTGAAGCTGTAAGTTTTGCTTAACAAAGCCACACAACAACATAACAGATGCTGGAAATGAGCAGAACATTATTCACTTTGACAAAACTTGCAATATTTGATGAGCTACTTACCCACATCCCCATAGACTTGAGAAGTGTGATACTGTGGAATGTACTGCGTTGCCATGTCACCGGCTCCAGTCACAGGTGAGTATATGTGACGGGGTGGAGGGGGTATCATGGCTGGAAGAGGAAGGAAGCCAGGCAGTGGGGGATGTGGAGGCCTGTGTATCACTGTGTGACCACCAGGATGGAATTCTGGAGCCTGGGGAACCACCACAACCCTTCGAACACCGTTATCCTCAATAACCTGTACAGTGAGAGACATCACACACCAAAAGAGAAATGACAGTCTGAAAAATATGTTTCTATAGATCCTTAAACAAAATCAAGAATAGTAAACCCCTTAAATCTGATGAAAATAAAACAGGAAAGCAAGGGGAAAAAAGGAAAAAAAGGGACATTAAAGAACTATCTATGTTAAGTATTTTAACTGCAGCAATGCCATTAATTTCTCAATGTGGTGGGAAAGAAAAAAAAAATCTGACTCTAAAGAGTATCTAACAAACAACCTGGTGTATTTATGGCACAAGCCAAGCTTCTCCTATGGGTCCTGTTTCCATCCTCATTCACACCACCTGTATGCTACACTGCTGTAGGATTTGTCCTACAGCTTAACAACTAGATTGCTCCCTAGAAATGAACTGGTGAACTGACAGACCTCACTCTGCATCAATAGCGAGAGAAAAGCTAAGAAGTGTCTGGTTTTTGCTCTGTCCCCAACTCAGCCCACCAACACTAACCCAGGAGACATCTGCACACTGGCCCTGCAGCAACCACCATCTGCATCAAGCTGTTAGCAAACAAACTACCAGGATGGTAGTCAGCCCTCTCAAAACTCCTTCACCAGTCAAACAGTTCTAAAATTTTTTGTCCTTCTCCTCGCCATATCCTTCTACCTGTAAAGAGGTTCTGAATCCTGCAGGAAGTCACATGCTACTCAGAAAACAAGGGCCTTTTTGGCAGGCACTGGCAGACTGTAGTGCAAGGGATTGTGAAAAGTTAGCAAATGGGAGGTGTGACAGCAGCCTTTGTGTGAGGTACCCGAGTGTGGCCCTTAGCAATGCTGGCAGAAATTCTAAGCAATGGCAGTAGCATATGCAATGCCATGGTGAGAATCTGTAAGATGCACGGAGCTGAGGTGTGCTGAGCATGGTACTTGCAGCATGTCTGGGCTGTGCAGCACGTGGGGCTCTGGTGGAGAGCGGGCACAAACTGTACCAAGTACTGAAGCAGAAAATGTTCAGTAAGGGAGGGTGGGTCATCAACTAGACCAGGAACAAGGGTCTGTCCCTGAAGCACCTCACATCATTACCCTCTCTAAATGTTTGTAAAGTCACATAAATACATGACTGTTGGTGACACCTAGAGATGATCTTGGCATATTTTGACTTGTATGCATTGTGGTGTCAGTAACTTTAGTGTATGGGATGCCAAAGAATAAACTGTTCTTCATTTCCTACTAAAATGCTGTAGAATAAAGTCACAGCAGAAACTGCAGTGGAAGGTTTTAGATGAACATTTATCCAGAAAAGGGGGAGAAGAATGGAGTATCATGACTACATTCGATAGCAGGGGACAAATCAACCCTGTGACATAAGTTTTCACTGACATTTGAAATGAGATGGGGACATGTACACATACACCAATAAACATCCTGGTGCAACAGGAACAGATCAATAGATCAAAACACTTAGTGCCAAGCTGCTTTCAGCTCCACTGTTTAAGGTTAATGGAATCATGCTTGGCTAGATTTAGCCCTGTACCCTAGAGTGAATGCTTCCATCAAGTCCGTGACAGAAAGCTGCTTGGAGAATCATTGGTTTTACCATGTCCCCATTAGGGGTTGATGTGCATCTGGTACATCTGGAACAGAGCTTCTGATTTTGTTTTCTCTGCCAGCAATCTAATTTGTACAGCCCCAAATTATCCTGCTAGCTGAACCAATGCAAGGTAAGTGAGATGGGTACAGGAAATTGTTTCAAAACTTCACCACTGTGCTGAGAGAAACAGTGCTGTAGATAGAGCTGCATGCTTCTGGTACTGTAGGATATGCACATGCAACAACATTCAGAAGACACAGAAGTGTGTATACAATAGAGCTGACCCCACTTTACTTAACAGACAGTTGGAAATTAATGTTACCCAAGTGAACACAGCTTTAAAAAACATGCACACCATATGACTTTAAGAAATGGGTTATTTTCAGTACACAGAAATTGTTCCTTCTTGGGAAGGAGTAATTAAAGACAGTACAATTCAAATCTGTGTAACCATAGCTGTGTGGTATCCTAAAGGCAGAATATATTAGCAGTAAATATAAGTAGAACCTCTCCTGTCCAATGAAGTTCTCTAAACACTGAAATGTAGTTTTAATTATTTAAGTCCCTTTTGGTTACAAAACCCCCAAAATACTGCAACTTATTATGATTTTATGAGTAGACTCAGATTATGTGGGAAGCAGCTCCCATTAAAAAACAAACGAGCTGCTTAGTTTACAACTTGTTTCCTCGGGCCTGCTAATAGCTAAGTGACTTAGAAATAGTCACCCAATCCATAACAGCAGGGACCTTCTGTTTAACAAGCCTGTAACTGTGCTTCCAGATCTAACATCTGCTCAATGGTAGGCCTCTAGCAGACAACTACACAGATAAAAATGCTCCAAAAAGCAGCCAGAGCATCATGCTAAGTCTATAATTTTAAGTTTAAAAAGTAAACAAGCTCTCTATTATCCCAGTGGTGCTAGCAAAATGTGGTTCTGGCACAGGCCTGTTCAGTTGAGTGAACCAACCAAACGTCACTGGAAAACTCACTGCGGACAGTCTTAAGAGAGGATGAATAAGGATGTGCTTTCTTTCAGTTTTACAACTACAGTTCCAAAAGAAGAGGAAGGGAAAAGGAAATCAGCTCTGATGAGTCACTTTTTTAGTTATGTGACATAAGAAAAGTAAATCTTTTATTCAGTGGTTATCCCCAACTTCTAACAGAGGACAGTACACTGTATCACTGCCAAACAGGAACTGAAGCAAGCAGAGGCACTATAGAACTAAGTGAAAATGGAGAGGCAAAACATGGTCATTTTGAAGTTCTTCCTGGCTGACACTTCAGGACATTTAGCTGGTTTCCTATTCAACAAAAAAAATAGCTGCAGCTGCTGACCTTTAAAAATATACTATACCTAAAGGAAACCACAGAAGTTTGCTAGGACTGCAGTAAGTCTGGGAAAACTCTTAGCTCGATAATGTTAGACTTCCATGTTTTGCAAGACTGCTATCAAATCTTCTGGCTTGTAAGAGGAACTCCCATCATAAACCTCAAAGTCTGGTATGTTTTGTCAGTAATAAACACTTCAGAAGGCTTATAAACTACAGGTTGTCCTGGACCACAGTACTTCTGCTCAGATGAAAACAGCAGATGAGCTCATGCCACCTGCACTCTGAGCTGGATAGATGTGAGGCACCTTCAGCTCAAAGGTCAGAGTGCTGTGCTAAAACAACACCTGCTTGGACTAACAAACTCCAGTGAAAGGCTAATGAATGGGCCTCAGCAAGACCCAGCCCTTCAGCATCTTTGATTCAAATTGTCCTCAAAGGAAGGACAAACTAATTCCAAAAGTATTTTTCAGAAAGGCACATGTTACACAACTTTTAAAATATGTACTTCATCAAATGAAAACAAATAAATATAGTAAAATTCCAATTTTCACTTGGCTCTAAACTTCTTTCAGTTCTTTAAAAATGAATTTTAATAGGAATCAGAACTTTTTACTACGGCCTGTAGATGTATGGACTTTTAATGATTATTTATAAGTCATTATTCTTCTTGCTTGGGAACTCAACTACAAAGGATGCATAGAATCAACTTATCAGTCAACTTCCAAGAGATGAAAGATAAAATCAGAGTAGTAGTCCGCCCGCCCTAAGAGCCTTTTCTTTTGCTAGAGGACAATTTTTTAATGCTGTTTAAATAATTTGCCCAACATGTGCTGACACTGTGGGCTTTTTTGTTGCATGTTTATGCATTGTAGTCCCTTCTCAGTGTACAGCACTGGATGCACACTAAGTCAGAGACAGACTGGTCACGAAAACAGAATGTCTTGAGAGAGACTTACATCATGGGGAGTGGCATTCAAAGCTCTGACTTCCACATCTGACCTACTAAGCTCTAGACTTGTTCTACAGTGAGGGAAAGAAACAGGCACCATCTACAAGGCCACACATTTCATTATAACTCACATGTCAGAAATAGCCAAGAGAAATCATCCTTTTAATCTACTTTAAAGGATGTCCAGGTTATCTAGCTCACATTTAATTTCCATCCATCTAAATTAGGAATCACACAGCAGTGAAAAAATGAGAGCCCCATTTTAAGATAAGTGGTGGAAACACTTATATGATAACCGAGTCCCAATGGACTTCTGACATTTTTTCCATGTTGTTTGCTGTACTTTTTCAACTGACCTGTTTTTCTCCTTATCTGCAGGGAACTTCCCAGACATGAACTATGTACACATATAAATTATATATATATATATATATTGCTGCCAAGAGAAAATATTCACTAACACAGGAATCAGTACAGGTCCTGCACAAGCAGATATTTGGGTCATGATTGCATTTTATATTCAGAAGGCATCTAGTACATTAGGATTCTGAACTCAGCAAGGAACTGTGCTTGCTACTGTCATGTACATAGTTAATATATAACTGAACAGGCACAGACACAGCATGAGAAGTCTCCCATCTCAGAAATACTGAGAGACATCTCCTCTTATCTCCTTGCTTGATCACAGTGACTGCAATCTAACAAATTATTTTATTGAATTAGGAATTATGGTTCCAGTTCCAAAATTTGCATGAAAATAAATCAATTAAGAAGCAAGTGAAGTGACATACCTGTGGGGCATATCCAGGAGGCACATAAATAGTAGGCACTGAACCATTTGGGGACATCATTGGAACCTGAGCAGGACCTAAGTGGGTTACAGAAATATTCAGTACAGCACAATTTAATAATTTGAGAAAGCTAAAAGAACATACTGAGCTGCGAAGTCTCTGTGAAAAATATACAAGATAACATGGATAAACAAAGGCAATGAACTGTACAGAAAAAATTATAGCAAAGGGCACTCTTTGAAATCTAAAAAAACAGTTGAACAAAACTACAAACAAGCTAAAAAAAATCCCCAGCAGATATTTCTCCCATCTCTGTCAATAAACTCATTGAAGAACTCATGTAAAAACTCAACTGATGACAAATCAAAAGAAATGCCCCAAGATGAAATGAGAATAGAAGAGACTATAAAACAGAAACAAACAAAAGTACTTGAAACAAGCTGCTGAAACCAGATCATATTCAATTAAGAGTTACAAAGCAAATTACTTACAAAATGGCTGGTTTTTACTGTGGTCTTAAAAACTAAAGTAGTCTCAGTACCACAGCAGCAGGAGGTGGTGAGACATGAACTGTCTCACACTGGTGCTGGGGAAAAGCCAGTGTATTACCAACTAGTAAGTCTGCTCCAGCTAATGGGAAAAGTCAGGACAACATGGTGATCCCTGTACCATGCAAACCATAAAAAAAGGAGTTTACACACACTTAGATAAATATGACACAATGGGAATGTGTTAAGGTGGCATTTGTGGATAAAGTATTGCCTAGAAAATCAGATACCTTCAAAGAGCACAAGGATGCTGTCACATACTTGAATTTTCAAAAAGCTTTTGACAACGTCTCTCAAAGACTCTTAAAGAAGTAATGCTGCCTTTGGTTAGAAAGGGAAAAGGTCTTTCCATAAATAACTGGAGATTGGAGAACAGGAAACTAAGAGAAGTAAACGATCAGCTTTTGAAGTTCTTCGAGTGACCAAGAAAAGAGTCCCACAGGCACCTAAAGAACCTGTTCTGCGTATTAGACAAAACTTCCAGAAAAGAAAATTAACAGCAAGGTGATAAATTGTTGCTATGCTCTCAGAGAGCAGTAAAGGATCTCACAGTACTCACTGATAGATGACAAAAACCCAGAAGGAATAATGTTAGTAAGTGCAAAGTGATGCATCTAGATAAAATCAGAAGTATTTCTTTACAGCGATAAGCCATAAATCAGATGTAAACAAACCTACAATGCAGCTACTACATGGATTTCTAAACAAATACCAGCCAAGAGTTGTTTAGTGGTATTCGCAGAAAGAAAGAGAACATTAAAAAATCATTACTAACGGAACAGGGAACAAGCAGAAAACATCATTATGCTGTGGTATAAATTCACACTGTACCTCGAATCCTCGAGAAATGTGTTTGACTCCACTTTTCAAAAAGAACACACAGGACTAGAAAAGGACAAAAAAAAAGGTTTACAGTGGCTTTCCACCTGTTTATCAGGAAAGATTAAAGAGACCAGGAATTCAGGATTCTTCCACCAGAAGATGGTTAAAGGGCTGGCAGCAGAGAAACAGTAAAAGACCTATTTAAAAAAACCATAAAAATGGAAAGATAGATAATTTACAGTTTCTCATTTTCAAGAACCAGAGATAGTAAACTAATTCACCAGGGAAACATAAGGGAATTTTTCACAAAATGCACAGCTAAATTGTATAACTCCTTACTTTAAGAACAGTGTAGAAACTAAAGATTAGGTTCAGTTTGGGAGAAATAATCCATTAAGAGCTGTAAAAAATATAACTACTACTTTTACTTAATGAATAAGGAAGTTTCTTCTGTGTGCCTGCCCTATCCTTATGCTGTATTTGATACTGGCCTCTACCAGAGTGAGCACTTTGGTACAGGCTCAAGAGGGACATCCTTACATTACTGTGTTTTAAATACAAAGGAACAAACACTGAATTTTAATAATGAAAGAAATACTGAAATATTATATAATTTGAACAAATTCTGTCACAAGACAAAATGCTGGAATTCAGACACTGTAGGCTGCATTCTGCAAATTTCTAATTCAGTATATTGAAGCTACCAAAAGTACCAATCCAACTTAGTGCAGTCTCAGTAATACTTCTGAAAGGGCATTCACAGCTCCACCTTAATGTTTTTTAAAACTATGATAGGATCTGCAAGTGGAAAGTACTAAGTAAAGGCAAAGTACAGGAAATAAGATTAGCACACTTCGCTCTGATACATATGGACTTGACAAAAAAATAAAGGTACCTCTGTCTAAAAGCAAAAAGCAGGAAAAAGCAATGAAAAGCACTCATTAGAAAAGCAGCATGCAATCCAACTTAATTGCATGTATTATAGGAACTTCTTTAGGATAAGACACAGAAGTTTACAAACATGCTACCTAAAAATAATCACAGCTTTATTATCAACAAAATGCTAACCCACAACAGGGGGAGTGAGTGAAGAGACTTTTTAAGAACAGATCTTTAATGAATTATTCACTGAACTGTGCAACAGCGAAGAATATAAAGACTACAGTAGGCTGTAAATTGAGAACTGAACATTCTTCCAGTGTTTTTGCTCATCTGAAACTCAAAAATGTTTCAGCCAAAGTTACTCCTGAATATGAAGTGCTAAAAAGAAATTAAAGTGAAGCAAAAATCAGCAAAAGAAACTTAAAATATTGCACAACCTTACTACAATAAATTCAAAAAGGTCAAAAATAACGGAAGCACATTTATTTTAAGTTGCCATTGAAATAATGTTTTAAATTCTTATATAAGGTGGATTTTATACAACTTGTATCTTGCATTGCTTACCTGCAGTCTTTCTATGAGTACAAAACACTTCCATTAAACTCACAATTTAAAACTATGTAATTTCCAAATAATGGAAAATTAAGACCACATTTACTTGAACTTCTTAGAGAATATCATGTCCTTGGGGGCTGATGAATCTCACATATGCAAGCGGTTTCTTTGAGAACTGGTGATTATCTTTGTTTGGCTTTTCTGTTTTGTTTTGCTGTAAGCATCTAGAGAATATTGTTTAACAACCTTTTTTTTAAGGTTTACTTATTTAGCACTTTAATCTCTCTGACAAACACAGAGCTCTTATCTCCCATCCAGTACAAAGGTTGATCCACAAAGCCATTTTCAGTATACCATAACTTAGCAGGCACAAAAGTAAAGGCATAAACTGAATGTATGAACCTGAAAAAATATTGCAGTATTAGAATAGAGTCAAATCAGTAGTTTCAAAATTTGCATCCCATCTTTTGCACTTTAAAGTACCAGAATAAACAAAAACATATTTGAATATTCAAGAACTTTAATTTATTTCTGATTAGATTTCCAAGTGGCTGTGAAATGAAATTTCTAGGCGGACATCCAAGAAAATGATAAGCACGGGACAAAAACTCAGCAGACTTCACAGGTGTTTTGAATGAACATTGTGTTTTACAGCGAGATTACCGATTTCTTGATAGGAAGCATATTACAATCTGCAAAATTTTATCTGAAGATAAAATTATAATATGCTATAAAAACACGTGTTTTTTCTTCACTAATGTGAAGATCTCAGCTCTCTTGTGGTGTAACACACTCTAAGAGGAATTTTCATGTTTTTGGGTATTGGCTGGAGTGCTGCATGACAAAACCAGTGTGTTTTACCATGAGGTGAGAGTTATTATAAAGTATCAGCAAACAACAGCATCAGGAATTCATGTTAAGGAAACATCTAATTTTTCATTGCACATAAATAAAACTGATTTAATCCAAATCACTATATAATTAATGGTGATGACTTGTTTGTTGGTAAGGGGAGGTCTCAACTCTTTGATACATTTTCAGGTATACAAGTTCCTCAAATAGGAAGTGGAAAAGAAACATTGTGGGAGTGGAAACAAGCACATCACTGGTTTACTTTATTACTGAAAAATGTCTCATCAAACTCACTAAGGGTTCATTTAAGCTGAACCCAAGACACAGATGTTTCACCACACTCTCAATTTATTATTGTCCTGAAATCCCACCAAGGAGGAATACCTCCTTCTCCTAGCAACAGCTGATGAACTTCTCCAACGTGTCTATTTGAGCAGACCATAAAAACCTCATTATGCTCATTACAGCCACCATAAACATGCAGCAAATTTACCAGCACTGCATCATGGCTAGGATCGTGACAAGCTGATCTAAACATAGTAACACCTGAAAACCTAAGGATACCGCCACCGCTCGCCTAGCGCATACACCATTTCTTTTTATTTCAACCATGAAGCATCGCTCCATTTCGAGCGGCTCATAAAAGCCCAGGCAAAGGTGCACACACCGGATTCCCAGCGCCGGGCAGGGAATGCTCTTCCGGGGCACTCCGCGCCCGGCCCTGCGCTCCAGCCCCGGGGCTCCTACGGCCTGCCGGAGCTGCGCGTCCTGCTCCCCTCGCGGCCCCGGCACCGCAGCCACCCCGCTCCGAGAGCGCACCACCGACAGCGGGGCCTGGCAGCGCTCCTGCCCCACAGATTTTTCAATTTTTTTTTGCCCATTGCAGCTCTCCCCCATCCGTCACTGCTGCACAACCGCGGAGGCCGCCGGCCCGCAGGTGTCGTGTTTCACCGCGGCGGCCGAACCGGGCAGGCGGGAGTCCTTACCGCTCATTTCGGGCCGGGCCGGGCCGGGCCGGGCCGGGCGGGTGCGCGGCCGGGCCCGCTCCGCCCCGCGGCCGCTCCGCGCCCTGCGCCCCGCCCCGCCGCTTCAAGGGCCGGCGGCCCTGCGGAGAGCCGTGTCCCCTGCGTCCCGCGGGGCTGCCCGCTCCGCTTTGTACTGTAATCTACCGCCTGTCACTGCCTGGCGTGATCCGAGCCATTTAGCTGAAAGCTTTTACGTTAATTAGCATAATTAAGTACTAAAGAATTACTTAGGCCCAGTCCTTCCCGAGGATTTTCCTTGAGCTGACCTGCTAATCAGTTTACAGTTAAGAAAGGGGGTGCACAAACAGATCTGGTTGCAAACAAACACTTTCCGGCCCAGCGTTTGGAGAGCTGCAATGACTTTGATAGTAATCTATGTGGATCCTGCGGCTC